TAAGCCAGCTCTGGGGTCTGGGCACTGAGGAAGCCTGCGCTGGCTGTGCCTTTGGCTGAGAAGGCATCGCTGATCACAGTCCTGAGGCTCCTCCTCTGAAATCCCACAGTGCTTTATAGCTCCTGTAGCTTCTACCATTTTCTGCCTTGACTTGTAGAAATATGAGTCCGTATTGATCTATTTTGAATTATTTATTAATCTGCTCAGTTACAAGTGGTCATTTCAAAAAAATTTACAAAAAACAGTAAAAATTGTCTGTTTGCCCCATTTGTTCATATGCATATTTCTACCCCCCAGACATTTTCTCTATAATTTTTTTTTTAACTTTATTTATTTTTAGGTGAGGGGATGGAAGGGAGAGAAGCATCAGTGTGTGGTTGCCTCTCACGTGCCCCCTACTGGGGACCTGGCCCACAACCCAGGCATGTGCCCGGACTGGGAATCAAACTGGCGACCCTTTGGTTTGCAGACTGGCACTCAATCCACTGAGCCACAACAGCCAGGACTCTCTATAAATGTTTTTAACAAAAAAGAATCCCAAATTCATGAATGATTTGACAATCTTTTCTACCTAAAATACACTATGTGGTGATTCTATAGTTTTCCCCCAACTCCACCTCTCCGTCTCCAAAGTGACCAGTTTAGTCCTTGCCAGAGAGTAGAGCACTCAGCAAATAATCTTGGTAATAAGACTCTGTAATTCTGGGATGGAACAGTGTGTCATTAGAGCTTCCGGAGAAATCTATGTCCACTTGGCCATACCGCCTTGGGGGGAAGGTGAGAGAGTCTGCTCTAAGGACAGCAGCCTTACCGAGCTAGGGCTTTCCCAGAGGCCTGAGAGGTAGTGCCAAAGCCAGGCTCAGGGACCGCAGGCAGGCGGTAGACAGCAGGAGAAAACAGGGGCCCCAGGTGGGAGGGAGCAGGAGAAAACAGCCCTGAGTGGCTCCCATACCAGGACCAGAGGGAAGTTGTAAGGGGACTTGGCTGCTCTCCTGAGAGTCAGAAGGTCGTTGCTCAACTCCCTAAATTTTCCATCACAGCCGAGCAGGGTGAGGCTGGGAAATGTCTCCTCTGAGCAGGTCCTTTTAAAAGCATCTTGGCTGGATCAATTTCCTCCTAGGAGCCAGGGAAGCAGTGCCCAGCTGGAGTTAACCCCTCCACTCCCAAGGAAATCTCCCAGGAACGGGTGAGCCTGGGAGCCCAGGCTTCTGGAGTGCAGAGCCACCCAGGGCAAGAGGCCTAAGGAGCCGTGAACTCTGGCTGGAGATACCTTCCCTCTGGCCTTGTTAAATCCAACAGACATAATTGCATCCTGCTGACCTTAATTCCTCTGGCAGGTTTAATTGGTCCTGGCATTGCCCCACTTCCTGCCCTGTCCCTGTAGAGGCAAAAAGGGTGGCTGCACAGCTGGTGCAGGGTGGGAAAGCCCCTTCTTAAGGGTGGGCAGGGGCTCTGGCAGCCCCCCGCTGGGTGGAGGAGGTTCCCCGTGCCCCACCCCTGTGGCTCCAAGGGAGAGCTGAGACGAAGCCCAGGGACTCCCAGGAGCAGCTGGCCAAGCTGAGCTCAGCCCGGGTGGCCAGCAAGCTGCAGGCGATCCTGTGGATCCGGAAAGCAGGCCAGCCTCTCATTCTAGCAGGAGGGACCTCGGAGGAGCATGCAGGGATGGCTGAGCCCTCTACCTGGGGTGTCCACACCATTATGGAGACCCCCCAAGGGCAGGGACAGTGCCGCAGGGACAGTGCCAAGCACTCTCGATACATGTGCTCACTAAATGGTCCCAGCCACCCTGGGAGAGAGACCGTGGGCAGATAGGTGATGAGCCAAGCCTCGGATTAGGTGGTTCAAACCCAACTCTGTGAGTTTGCTCTGTGACTCGGTTTTCCTGTCCCCTCTGAAATGGGGTTAAAATAGCTGACATTTTTAAAGCACTTACTGTGTGCCTGTGCACTGTTCAAAAGGCTTTATATCCCTCCCCCAGGGAGGAAGATGCTCCTACTACAGGTAAGGAAGCGAGCAAAGGCATTTGCTCAAGCCTCAGTTATTAGTCTCAGCTTGACTGGCAGAACTCCTAACCACTACTTAGACTGTAAGAATTGAATGGAGGACATTCATGAAGCTGCTTACCCAGGGTCTGGCCTGTTTACATAAGTTCAAGAAATGCTAGTTATTGCCCTGACCAGTGTGGCTCAATTGGTTGGGTGTCATCCCTTAAACCAAAATGTCACAGGTTCGATTCCCAGTCAGAGCACATGCCTCAGTTGCAGGTTTGGTTCCCGGTTGGGGCATGTACGAGAGGCAACCAATCAATGTTTCTCTTTCACATCGATGTTTCTCTCCCACTCTTCCTCCCTCGCTTCCTCCCTCCCTTCCTCTCTCTCTCAAAATAAATCAATAAAATCTTTTTAAAAGTGCTAGTTATTATTTGAGAATCACAACAGTGACAAAGGTAGCAGAATTAAGCCCCTTATGTTGTCCCAGCCTGGACTGTGGTCTCATCAGGAGGACTCTGGATTTGAAGCTGCTCAATAGCTGTGTGACTTTAGAGACAAGTCTCTTACCCTTTCTCAGCATCAGTTTCTGCACCATTAAAATGGTCAAACACTTGGCCCCTTGAGTCCCTTGTGAGGATCTAATGAGCTGGTTTGAAGCCTTTGACAGAGTCCAGCCTGGCCCTTAGTGGGCACTGACTCAGTAAACGAGCAGTATTGACAACCACACTAAAAACAAGAGTATGTCAGCAAGGGCCATCATAAAGTAATCCCACAAACCCAGTCCAGACTCATGCTAGTCACTCCTCCAACACTGACTGGCAAGTACACTTTGTGCTGGGAACACATGTGGACATCACACTGCCCCTGACCTCTAGGGGCACCCAGGCAGTGTCAATAGTGGGGATCAACCTGGGGCTGAGGGAGGCCGGATGAGGGAGGTCTAGCGTTACAGGCTAAACCAGAATCTGCTGTGGGGACGACCAAATGGAGGCCCAGGGGCTCCTGATAACAGGCACAGACACTTCTCCCGGACAGGAAGTATATCAGCCGTCTGAATGCTGAGACCCCAGTGGGGAAAAGGGGCGAGGCACAGGCTGGGAAATCTTACGAAGAAAGAGAACTTTGGGTTGTGAAGAAGGACATTTCTAGCTCAGCTCCCTCACGGAGTGACTTTGAGCAAGTTGCTTGTTCTTTCGATCCTCCCTGTCTTCATCTAGGAAATAAGATAAAAGTCCCCCACAATTATCAAGATGATATTTTAAGACAATATGGATAAAGCTAATAATAACAGCACTCAAAAAAATGGGAGCTCCCTTCCTTTAAGGGAACCTGGGGTTCAGGTCCCAGCTCAGTCCCTCTCAAATTGGACGACTTTGGGTAAGTTACTTAGCCTCTCTGTGCCTCAGTTTCCCCGTCTGTTCTGACGATCACATGAGTGAATCGACGCAAGGGAGCTTGAATGAGGCCTGGCACTTGCGGCAAGTACGAGACAGACGTTAGTTATTATTTTTGCTTTCTAGAAAAGGCAGGCTGTCGACTGGACCTTGGGGAGAGAAAGGAGGTCAGAAGAGGAGCGCCAGGAAGAGGAAAAGCCGTCAAGAATGAGGAAGGAGCTCTGACTCTGGTTTCTTCTAGTCTGTACTATCCTCCTTTGAATAGTGTTCTGTTCACATAGTTCATGGTTCAAATAAAAAAGTGGAAGGGTAGGCATTCGTCTCCCTCATGCCCCTGGTCCCATTGTTTGCTTGTCTTGCCAAAACAACTGTTATGGGCATTAAGTGAAAATGCATATATTATTACATATATGATTTCATTAAATATTACATATTTCACCCCCTTTTGCCCAAATAATAGCTTACTCTACATGTTACTCTGCACCCAGCTTTATTTTATTTTTTTTCCACTTTGGAGGTCGCTTCGTATCAGTTCCTTCACGGATTCCTCGCTCTTTTTTACAGCTGAGATGTGATGTCCCATTGCTTAGATGTGCTGTGTTCTCAGGTCGTTTCCCCTCCCTTTTCCCATCTGAGGGCAGGGGGTGCCTCCTGCATTTGCCACAGGGGCTGAGGCGCGCCGCAGTCAGGACCTGAACCCAGACGCCCACTCCAGAGCTATTTCCAACACACTCAGCTCCGCTAGTCCTCAAGTTCCCCTTCAGAGAAAGGCTGGGGGCAGACGGCGCCTGGGTGACGGGTGACTTCTTGGAGCGTACTTCACCCCACCCCATCTCGCTCTGAGCACCTCGGGCTGGAGCAGCCCCTAGGACTCCCCTCCGGTGGAGGATCCTTGGAAAAGAGTCTCCATCAGCCCCTCCTTCCAGGAGGGTCACTGGCGAGACTGGGGGCAGCTGGAGGCGCGAGGGCCCTGGAGTGCTGACCATCTCCACAGCCACTTGGGACCACATCCACCCGCCCCCCCCGCCCCCCAGGAGCCCAAGAAAAAAGACATTTCCAGAGAAAAGGCTTTCCGGCTCATGGGCATGTTGAGCAAGTGCCCCTGAGGCAGTTTCTTACCCAAAGATGCTCCAAGTAGGTCTAATTGCCAGGGGCAGCACTCACGGGCACAGAGCTTGGCACTGGGGTCGGGGCGATTATTCGGGGCCTGTGTGGCTCTAACCAGGTTCTGGGGCACCTGGGGGACCCCACGCATGCAGGTGGGTAGAGCCAGGGCCCAGCCTGGGCATAGCCTTGCCCTTCAGCCCTGCCCGAGAGCCCCTCTTCCTCCGGGCCCCTGCCCTTGATCCTGTCAAGCCAGAGCCTGAGGAAAGGTTGCTCCCCCGGGGCCCCAGGTGCCCCCTCCTTTTTCTCTTCCTGCTTGTTCCAACCCCACTCTCCCCCCAGTCAGTCCGTGGGAAGAATGCTGTGTCCTCTGAATGGGGGCCAAGAGTGACAGGTGGTGGCAGTCCGGGCTGCATGGCCCCTGGTGTAAGAGATCCTCTCCTCCGTCCCCGCCTCCCCTGCCTGCACCCCTGCCTCCGCCTCTGCCCACCCAGCCCAGTCCCTTACAACGGCCTCCTGACTGCTCCCAGGAAGCCGCTGCACCACAGACAGCCACCAGGTTGCCCCTCTCTGCTTCAGGTACCTCTCTCCTCTCAGTCTGCTGGCCCTGGGTTCCTCTCGACCTGACAAGAGGAGGAATCTGACAGCCTGCTATACTTCATGCTTCTTTCTGCAGCTAGCAAGACTTGAGTTAGACAAGCAGAAGCATACGCTTCCCTACCTCATGGCGACAGAAAACGGAGCAGCCGAGCTGGGAATCCAGAGCTCACCAACAGGTGCCAAGCTGGGGCAGGAGATGGAGGGAGGAGGTTGGGTGTTGGAATCCAGGTTTGGGTTGGTTCCTCAGTGGTAGTCTTGTGCCCAAGGCCTCCTTGTATGGTCCGTGGGGGACTCAGAAATCAGAATTCTCTCTAGGTAGGGCTCGGCTGGATCAAGAGCCTACATGAATTCCTTCCCAGAGAGACTAAGAAAATGTAAAGCTCTCATGGATAGCACCTAAATGCAGGGCAAGAGATGGCGGGGCATCCAGGCCCACCAGAGGACCAGAAACCCCCACACAGGCCTCTGCGATCCCAGCAGCCCATGTCCAGGGCCCATCAAGTGGCTCTAGAGGCTCAGTGGAACAAGCATTTGCAAATTCTTGCCTTGGTGGGGACCCGGACCCAGAGCTGGTCTCTTGCCAGCCTGGCTAGGAAAAGAGGGGGAGAGGGTGAGTCCTGACGGCTGTCTCACCTCTTCTACAGACAAGGCACCTGAAGGTGCAGCAGGCGAAGGACCCCTGGCTCCAGAGAAAGACCCTGGCCTCCCGGACCCAAAGAAGGAAACTGGCCCCCCAGATCCAAAGAAGGAAACTGGCCCCCCAGATCCAAAGAAGGAACCTGGCCCCCCAAATCCAAAGAAGGAACCTGGCCCCTTAGACCCAAATAAGGAACCTGGCCCCTTAGACCCAAATAAAGAACCTGGTCCCCCAGACCCAAAGAAAGAACCTGGTCCCCCAGACTCACAGAAGGAACCTGGCCCCCCAGATCCAAAGAAGGAACCTGGCCCCCCCGACTCAAAGAAGGAACCTGGCCCCCCCGATCCAAAGAAGGAACCTGGCCCCCCAGACTCAAAGAAGGAGCCTGGCCCCCCCGATCCAAAGAAGGAACCTGGCCCCTAGACTCAAAGAAGGAACCTGGCCCCCCAGACTCAAAGAAGGAACCTGGCCCCCCCGATCCAAAGAAGGAACCTGGCCCCCCAGACTCAAAGAAGGAACCTGGCCCCCCCGATCCAAAGAAGGAACCTGTCCCCTTAGACTCAAAGAAGGAACCTGGCCCCCCAGACTCAAAGAAGGAGCCTGGTCCCTCAGACTCAAAGAGGGAACCTGGCCCTCCCGATTCAAAGAAGGAGCCTGGTCCCCCAGACTCAAAGAAGGAACCTGCCCCCCCCGATCCAAAGAAGGAACCTGGCTCCCCTGATCCAAAGAAGGAACTTCCCTGACCAAAGAAGGAACCTGGCCCCCCAGACTCAAAGAAGGAGCCTAGTCCCTCAGACTCAAAGAAGGAGCCCGGCCGCCCCGATCCAAAGAAGGAACCCGGCCCCCCAGACTCAGAGAAGGAACCTGGTCCCCCGGGCTCAGAGAAGGAAACTGGTCCCCCGGGCTCAGAGAAGGAAACTGGCCCCCCGGGCTCAGAGAAGGAAACTGGCCCCCCAGGCTCAAAGAAGGAACCTGGCCCCCCAGACTCAAAGAAGGAACCTGGCCCCCCAGACCCAAAGAAAGAATCTGCTCCCCCCACCCTGAAGGAAGGTGCCAAAATTCCTGCCTCAGAGAAAGGGGATGAGGCCCTGGCCAAACCCTCAACTGGCAGCGAGGGCCCCGAGGGAGAAGGTGACTTGGGCGAGGGTCCTGCGGAAGGCAGTGTGGGGCAGCCGGCAGCCCTGCCCCAGCAGACCCAGACTCTCGAAGCTGAGGCCAGCGCCAAGAAGCCCAAAGAGGATGACAATCAGGGCACCTCAGGCAGCCAGGATCCCGGAGAGCCCAAGGCAGGAAAGAAAGCGGCAGAGAGCCAAGCAGAGGCCAGGAGTGGCTTACCCCCATTTCTACACAGCCCCAGCTGCCCTGCTGTCATCTCCAGGTGAATGCCCCCTGCCTGCGAGTGGGGAGGGGGCCTGAGCTCTGTCCCCAGGGGTCGTGCTAAGCCCCTCTGTCCTGAGGGTCATTGGGTCTGGCCACGGGTGGAGCCGAGGTGTCAGGAGGAAAGGAGAATCCTTCTTAGTATAATGATCAATCTAGCATGGAAAGATGACTAATGATGGATCGGTAGAGCCTTACTAATCCTTTCATAACTTACTAATACTTTTTATAATAAAGTATCAGCCTTACAGTGCAATCAATTACATTTACCTGAATGTTAATTATATTAATGAGGTCACTAATTATGTATTGTAAACCACAATAACACCATATCAATTTAAATTTTATATTAGTATCAATTGAATTGCCAGTTTTTATGAATTAAGAGCTATGTAATCTCCCTAATTCTATCCACATAATGGTTAACCATATCAATGCTCTTATTAATAGTTATGAATGATCCATTAGTGTGTTGATAGTCAAGATAATGATCACCATCGTTTATGATATTAACATCCCTTAATTTTGTATAAAGTGAGTTCGGATGTGTACCTGATGTGTTTGGGGTGGGGAAGGGGCAGGGTTATATTAGCTTCAGAGAGCAGACAAAGCTTTGGAAGCATGATGACCTGCCGGAGGCCACAGTGGAGCTGTGGCTGCTAAGGGCATCACCTCTGGGTTCTCACCTTCTAGCCCTGAGGACTTGCTGGCCAAGAAGCCCCCAAATGAGGCATTGGAGCTCGTCTTTGAAGGGGTGCCCGTAACCCCTGGCCCCACAGATCCTGAAGCAGCCAAGGAAGCAGAAGAGAAAAACATCCTGGAAGGCAGCCAGGAGGAAGCAGGAGAGAAGGCCTCAGGCCAGGCTGGCCAGGCTAACGTGCAAGGGGACACCTCGAGGGGGATCGAGTTCCAGGCTGTGCCCCCGGAGAGATCGGAGGTGGGGCAGGCCCTCTGTCCCACAGCCAGGGAGGAGGACTGCTTCCAGATTTTGGGTAGGCCGGGGGCTGGCATGGGCTGGGGCTGTCTGTGGGCCAGGGAGGAGGGAAGGGGGCTTCCCAAATCTCGCAAGTTTAGAGGACTGAACTGCTGTGAGCCATGTCTCACCCAGGCCGATTTATCTAAGTGTCACACAACTCCAGGAAGTATGCATTTCTAGTCCCTTTTGATTGATGGGGAAACAGGTTCAGATAAAGGAAATGGAGTGAGTACCCCAAAACCCTTAACTAGGGTAAGATTTGAACCTGTCAGGACGATCGGACTGCAGAGCTCACTTCTGCCTTTCTTTTACTTTGGCTAAAATAGGACTTTGAAAAAAATCAGTTAGATTATTGGAGCAACACCGACTTCCGGACAGTGGAATCTTAAGTCAGTTGTAGAAGAACTAAAGTGCCAGGCTTTGGTAGTTAAACTACATCCTGGACAGGGTAGGAAGGTTCATGGGAGCCACAGGATTCATGAGCTGAGGAGCACGGGTGTCTGTGTGTGGAAGCAGTGACCAAGGAAGCTAGGCACGTGAGATGCGGCAGGACTGTGGCGTGGCCTTAACTAATCACACTGCGAGCGGGTAGTTTATTCAGCGGGCAGCAGGGAGCCACTGAGCATGCGTGACTTGGCAGTAGGTGAATAGGCTTGGGCAAAGGTGCGGCAAGGCTGGGGGTGGGGTGAGATGGGGTCAGGAGAGCCCAGAGTGTCCTGACACCCCCGCTCCGGGCCGAGGTGCCCTGGGAGACCCGCCAGCCTGCCTGGTGAGCGGCACAGTGCCACCCAGACAGGGTGGGAGGGCCTGGCGGCTGGGCGGCAGCCAGGAGTCCTGCCTCCTTCCCCGAACAGGAGCGACCGAGACCTCCACCCCGCCCCGCCCAGAAATCACATCCTCAGGGTGACGGGACCTGAACAACCTCCAAGGGCCATCTGATTAATTACCAGCCCGGCTTCCCTGCCACCTCTTACTATTTATAAACAGGTTTCCGTTCCCTGTGATTCAGCCTGTTGGCCTTCAGGACCCCTGTTCCTCGTTGTTGTCGCTAGGTGGCAGCCTCTCCCTACCAAACTTCATCCCTGCCTCCCGCTTCCTCCTTCCTGCGGGTCGTGCACAGCTTAGACTCCTATTCCACAGGTCTGGCCAGTTTGTGGTGATATTCGAGGGGGTGGTAGGCAGATCCCATCACCTACCCCATCAGACATAGTAACCCCAACTGGGCACTCCACCGCTATAGCTGTTTTTTTTTTCTTCAACGGAAATGCAGATAGCTTGGGAGGGTCTCAGTGGTGTAATCAGCCATCCCCTTTGTTGTTGGGGGAGAAGCTGAGCCTCCCTCTGTCAAAGGCAGAGGGCCCCCTGAGACCATTGTGTATGATGGTGGCAGAGCTGAAATTGGAAACTGGGCCCCCTGGCTCCTGTCCTGGAGCCAAGCTGTCCCCCAGGTATCACTCAGCCCAGGCCAGGCAGGACGGGTGGATCCTCAGCAGCCCCTGGCACTGACTAATGGCTCTGCTCTGCCTCCAGACGACTGCCCACCACCCCCGGCCCCCTTCCCCCACCGCATTGTGGAGCTGAGGACCGGGAATGTCAACAGCCAATTCATCATGAACTCCAAGGAGGCGCTGGGCGGGTGAGCGCTGGGACCCTGAGCCTCTGCAGAGCATTGAACACCCCAGGGCTTCACATCTTCCCTGCACGAGGCCCCACCACACCCCACTGGACCCACAAGGACACAATTGCTTCTAGTGGTTGCACCCGTCGTCTGCAAGTTGTCACGTGGCTGATGCCTAATCACGTCACTGTCACTCACACAGGCACACCCTCAGTCACTCAGTGTTTCCTATAGGGAGCGCACAGTGTTTTCCTGTCTGTCCCAGTTTCAGGCCCTCTAAAGACGATTCCTGCTTTGTAAAAAGCACTGAAGGGTTCCTCCTCTGGGCCCCTATCTGCCACAAGCCTGTGAGCTGTCACATCAGGGGCCACCCTTCAGATCAGCCTGCCCTTCCTGTGTCCCCAGTTTGTGTAGCTCAGCCATTGTCCCCCCCACACCAGAGCTTCAGGAGGGAGTCAGGGCTAGTTGGGGAGAGTGTCCCCATCTCATGGTGCGGATCCAGATGGGCAGAGAGCGGGCCTCCCTCAGCCCTTGTCCCTGGGAGCTCCCTCACTCCCAGCCTTTTCCTTCTCCAGCGGCAAGTTTGGAGCAGTCTGTACCTGCACAGAGAAAGCCACAGGCCTCAAGTTGGCAGCCAAGGTCATCAAGAAACAGACACCCAAAGACAAGGTAGTAGGGGTGGGGCCTTGCTATGTGAAAAGGGGGGATCTTTGGAGTGGGGGGGCATCTCACCTCCCTCTACCCACGTGTCTGTCTAGATGGACAGACAGACAGCCCTGCCACTGGGGCTTGATGCCCCTACGTGTAAACCAGACACCTCAGTGAGTGAACTTATCCCGGGGACTTCCCCTTCTAGGCACAGGACAGCTATGCCCTGTTCAGTTCAACAAATACTAATAAGTGCAGGCTCTGGGCCAGGCCCCGTGCTGGACACTGGGGGTCCCAAAGTGAAGTGAATGTGGTTCCCGCCCTGACGGAGCACCAGGGTTAACAGGCCTGGTCTGGGGCTCTGCCTCCAGCGCCCAGCGCAGGCCTGGTCAGAGGAGGCCGAGAGCAGAGCTTGGGAAGGAAGAGAGAGAGGGAGGAAGGAAGGGAGGGGAGGAAGGGGCCCGCAGGGAGAGGGAGTCGGGTGGGTGTGTGAGGAGGTGATGACCCAGCCACCTGGTGAGGTGAGAGCTGTAACTTGGGAAAGCTAGGGCGGGGCAGGAGTAGTGAGGAGGGGGCGGAGGCCGCTCCTGTGTCAGCCTGTGGGTCAGGGAAGCTTCCTGGACTGGCTGTCTCCTTAACGAAGACTTCGAAGAAGGAGGGACTGTGGGAGGAGAGGCCTGAGCGCAGGAAATAGCAGGTAACTGCTGGGGGCCCTCGAACTGAGGCAGGAGGAGCTGAGAAGTGAGGTTATGGGCGTTCAGGCAGAGACCGCAGCACACAGAGGCCTGGAGCCCGGGGCGAGTATGAGGAGCAGCTCCGGAGCGGGGCAGCCCTGGGCGCCCCTTCCTAGCTCTAAACACCTTTGGAAGGCATGTATTTTCTTTGTGACTCTGTCTTTCTCTGCCTCTTCCACTTGACAGGGCCTGGATCCATATCATTGACTGCAGGGTCCCCAGGCCTCTAACCTGGACTTGGCTCAGCATTGATGCTCAGTCTATATGTGCTGTGTCAAAGAATTGGAGGCAGCTATTGATTAATTAATTATCCGGCAATTTTTTGGTGTGCCATTCGCTGTGTGAGGGAAAGGCAGTGAACTAAAAAAGCCCCTGCCATTATGGGTTGACATGCTAGAGAAGAGAGACAGACACCTAGAAAGCAAAACGGAACACAAAGCAGGGTGTCAGGAACTGAGAAGGGCCAGGAAGAAAAATAAAGGCAAGTAAGAAACAGGGAGCGTGGAGCGGGTGGGGGATGTTCAGACCGAGCTGGGCCAGGTTAGGCCTCTCTGAGGAAAGAATGTATGTAGGGTGAGGTATGAATGAAGGAATGGGAAAATGAGAGAGATGAAGCAACTTGGGCAGTGACATGGTGTTCTGGGGGGCGGTTCAGGGAGAGGCCTGGTTTGTAGCGTTCGCCGATTTCCACGGTGTAACTATTTCTACCATAGCCAGTTTCAAACTACCAATGTGACAACTGGCTTGAGAACTTTCTCAAAGTCACAAATAATGATGGCGTAGGCTAGGAAGGCCGTGCTGGAGGAGGTGAGAAATGACAGGATTTGAAATCTAGTTTGAACATAAGAGTCCGAAGATTTAGTGATGGACTGGATGTGGAGTGTGAGGAAGCAAGATTAAGAGAAGAATCTGGAATAGCTCCTAACTTTCAGTCCTGCACACCTGGGTGAAGAGTGATGTCCTGTTGCTGATGGGCAAGCTGAGGGCAACCCAGCTGTGGGGAAGGGGTGGTACCAAGGGCCTAACTGAGGACGTGATAGATTTGAGATGCGTATTAGACATCCAAGGGCAATGGCAGTTGGGCAGCTGGGGATGTGGGGATGTTGAGTTCATGGGAGTGCTCGGAGGTGGAGATATGTATTTGGAGGTCTGTGACATTTGGGTGGGATTATCTAGTCGGGGGCTTGAGGAGAATGCCCAAGGGGAAAATGCAGGGAGGGGAGTGATGGGCTGGGAGGACTGAGCCCTCAGGATGGCAGTATTCGGCCAGAAGAAGAACCACAAAGGAATGGTGTCCCAACAGGAAGGGCTGGGGTTGGTGAGGACGCAGGCTTGGGCGCAGGGAGAGATGGGAGAGAAGGAGGCCCGCAAGGCGGAGGCTGGGCAGGGGTCCAGGCAAGGTCCGGTCAGGGCGCAGGTATGGAAGGTGGAGGCAGGGAGTGATGACACTTGGGTGGTACCCCTGGCTTCCTTGGTCCTCAGGAAATGGTGAAGCTTGAGATCGAGGTTATGAACCAGCTGAACCACCGCAATCTGATCCAGCTCTACGCGGCTATTGAGACGCCACAGGACATCATCCTGTTCTTGGAGTAGTGAGTGCCAGCAGTGGGGGCAGGGGGCCGGGTGGGGTACCAGAGGCCCAGAAGCAGCCTGTAGAGGGGTCTGTGCACGCAGCATCGAGGGCGGCGAGCTCTTCGAGAGGATTGTGGATGAGGACTATCAGCTGACCGAGGTGGACACCATGGTGTTTGTCAGGCAGATCTGCGATGGGATCCTCTTCATGCATAAGATGCGGGTTCTGCACCTGGACCTCAAGGTACTGGGGCTGGGCCTCCGGGAGGGGCCAGGAGCAGCATTTGGCCACTTGAAGTCAGTGCTGCCACCAGCATCCCTCCATCCTCCCACCCCTTCCTCTCTTTTCCCATCCATCCTTCCACCTGCAGACTCAAAAAGGGCTTATTGGGCACTTACTAGGTACCAGGAAGTAGAGAATAAGAAAACAAACAAGAGACTTGGTCCTCGCTCTTAGGAGCTTCTAGTCTAATTCTAGGTACTTACTGAAAGTATCTTTTGTAGCCCTGTGAACCCCAGGCTCAGTGCCTCTCACACAGAACTTACTAATAACTGTTGCAAAAGTACCTACCTCTGTGCTGGGCCCTGAGAGACACTGCGTGTATCTATTTACTCAACGACTATTTGCTGAGGGCCTGCTCCATGCCAGCCAGTGTTCTAGCAGTGGAGATCCAGTGGTGAACCAAATAGGTCGAAATGCCTGCCTTCATGAAGCTTATGTTCTAGAAGGGGAGTCAGGAAAAACAAATCAGTAAGCATAGTATCAGTGCAGTGATACCCACAGAGTAGGCGCTAACAAAAGTGTTTATGACAGAATATTTATTTCCCTCTTCCGACCTTGCTCGGTCCCTTGCACATAGCAGGTGAGGGGAAGCTATAGATTTTATGATCAACTGGTGGTGGCTCCCTGGAGCTGAGTGACCTTGGCTGCGGTGTGGAGCAGGCAGGGGCAACGTGAGCGCCAGCTAGTCCCCGTTCTTATGGCCGGTGTTAGTATTCGTAGGGTAAGTGGCCAGGTGAGTAGAGATAAAATACGCACTCCGTTGTGGGTTATAACCATCAGCAAGGTGGAAAGTACTTGCATTTGTTCATTTGAAAAATACATGCTGAGTACCCGCTTGTGTGCTGCTGTACACCGCGTGCGGCATGGGCGTTACTGCGGGGATGAGGCAGGACACGCCCTGACCCATGGAGCCTGCAAGCTAGCGGGGGAAACAGACATCCATAAAATAATGACCAAATAAATAGATGCTTTAAAACTGTCAAAAGCATTATGAAAAAGTACCTGAGTAATGGGGAGATGTGCCAGGTGAAATTGCAGAAGTGGGTAAAGGCCAGTGTATTCGCGGTCTGAAGCAGGCCAGGGAGCTGCTGCTGCTGCTGGCTACCCCTCCCGTGCTCCTTAGAGGTCAGATGCCACTCAGGACGTGTACTCCTCCTGCCCAGGTGCCTGCCCCTCCCACCAGCCCCTTGGGTCAGGTGACCTGTTACCATCCCCACTGATAAGGGAGGGAGAAAGGACGGAAGGAGATGGCATTCAATGGGACCAACGTGGCAGAGAGAATTTAGGAGGCTGTTGAATTAAGCCAGGAGAGAGACGGTGGGGCTGGAACAAGTGGCAGTGAGGGATGGGAAGGAGCCAGAGGATGGGTGCATCCTGAAAATAGAGCCATTCGGATTTGCTGATGGTTTGGATGGGGTAGGGGAGGGGAGGGGAGGGAAGGGAAGAGTAAGGGTGACCCCTGAATTTCCAGACAGCGCCATGTCATTGGAGGCTTGCCATTCCCCAAGGGAAAGCCAATTTCTTTGGGGTAGAGCAGGGTCCCCAAGGCAAATGCAATGCCACAGGAAGAAACTCAACCTTAAGCTTCTGTATCCTAAAATGTGCTGCTTTCAGGATTACAATAGTTTTTCATTTAAAAAATGGCTTAAGGGTCAAGTAAGTTGGGTGAATCATTTTCCAGGCTGGGGCTTCTCAGAAAGTCTCATGTCCTCCAAAAGGAGATCTAGGTCTGTCTCGTTTCCCCAGATGACTGTACCCTGTGACCTTTCTTTTCTTTCCCTGTTTTGGTGGGACACCAGGTTAAGCTATTAAAGTCATTAGTGTCCTGCTCCAATGAATGCATCAGTTGGAAAAGGGCCTTCAGGAAGTGTGTCATTAGGGGCCTACAGTCAAGTGCCGACAAAGCCCAGATGAATAACAGAACCAGGTTAAAGGGTCTGTCATGAGGGTGGAGGCCCCGGACAACTGGAGGGCTTTTGTGGACTCAGAGGTCAGTAGCAACTCGTTCGAGCAGCGCACGGCTATGTGGCTGGGGCTTCTGCTGTTTGAGAAGGTGCTGCAAGTCAGGAATTCAGAGTCTCTGTGCAAAATCTCCTGCCTTATGACTGTTGTTAACTACTTAAAATATTTCTGTCCTATAACCTCAGATTCATCCTGTGTCCTTGTGTTATATGAAGAGGAGATGGAGACCCAGAATGGGGAGGGACTAGCCTTGAAGTAACTTCATTCACATGCTCATCTGGGCTCGGAGCACAGGATTCTGGGAGCCATGGCTGAGCGCCTAGCAGTGTCTTTGTTAGACGCTGAGGGTGGGGAGCAAGGGGCCCGGGAGAAGACAGACCATCCTTGCCCTGGAAGAACCAATCCACGGGCATACTGTCTACCTAGCTCCTAGCCCATAGCGTGCACTATGAGTCCTTGTTGGCTGGCGGCAGAAAGAGTGATATCAAGAGACCAGCACTGGAGTCAGACAGCCCTGGGGTCAAGTCCTGGCTCCGTCACTTACTTGTGTGACTGTGGCCAACTCACTTCTGTGTCTGAGTCTCAGTTTTCTCGGCTGTGAAATGGGGATGGAAATGGAAAGTCTCTGCCTCGTAGGACCCTTGGGAGGATGGATGAGCTGACATGTGGGAAGTGACTGACACAAGGCCTGACATTCTGTAGGTGATATCTCATCCCTAAATGGGGAGATGAGAGTAGCACATCTTAGAGCATGCCAGGAGCCCCTCTGTTCCCAAGAGGCTTCCTCCGGGGGCCCTGAGCTGGTGGGTTCTTTCTGTGGCCTGTGGCGCTCCACACACCTGGTGGTGGCCCTGCACTGGCCTACCACCTGGCGCGTAGTTCCCCTCTGCGGGCCTCAGTCACTCCTCAGACTTGCTAGGACATTGTGGTTCTTCCCTGGCCTTAAATGAAGGAAAATACCACCTGCACCCATCTGGAAGCCTGTGCTATGAGGCCTCATCTGAGTCTCTCTTGGGCCCTCAGGTTCCACATCTGTGTCTGGAGCAGGCGGGTCTGGGAGTCTGGGATGGGCTGCCAATTCTGTGACCTGGGACTTGGGTGGCCCAGGATGGGGAGGGAGGGTGAGCTGGGTCAGAGGCCAATCCAGGCCACCCCTTCTCCTCAGCCAGAGAACATCCTGTGTGTCAATACCACGGGCCATTTGGTGAAGATCATTGACTTCGGACTGGCACGGAGGTACCACCCGAGAGGCTGGGGAGGGCGGGGCAAGCCGCTGAGGAGGGCAGAGGTGAGGGAGGGGCGAAGGGTGCCTGGGAATGGGCTGGGAGCTGTGCTCTGAGCATCTGGTCTCACCCCCAGGTATAACCCCAACGAGAAGCTGAAGGTGAATTTCGGGACCCCAGAGTTCCTGTCACCTGAAGTGGTGAATTACGACCAAATCTCCGACAAGACAGACATGTGGAGTCTGGGGGTTATCACCTACATGCTGTGAGCCCCAAGGGAGCACGGTGTTCCTGGGATTGGGGCACCCGGGGGGGGGGCAGCTGAGGCCAAGACTGGCCGTGGGCTCGTGGTGAGGTGGTCCCACTTCCCCATTCACTCAGTCAGGGGTTTGCTGGGGGTTGGGAGTGCTAGGGAGAACTAGGACAGAAGAACTTTGTACCCATTTTATAAATGGAGAAACTGAGGCCCCTAAAGGCATAGCATCCCAGCCCAGGGCTCTGGGCAGCAGATCTCTGATGACCCAGGGTGGGGGCAGAGGGGTAAGGGACATTTCTTTGTGCACTCACCATTCCTCTTCTTCGCTGTACCTTGGGAAGCTGGGATGATTATGCCCATTTTACAGATGAGAAGAGTGAGGCTCAGAGAGGGGAAGTGACTTGCCCAAGGTCACCCAGCCAGATTCAAACTCAGGTCTGTCCCACTTGAGAAGCCGGGGGTCTTTTCAGCATCTGGTGCTGCCTCCTAGGATCTCCCCCGCCCCCCAAACCCTCACGGTGACTTAGCATTTCTAACCTCACCTCCCTGCCCTCTGCTACCGCTCCCTCCAGGCTGAGCGGCCTCTCCCCCTTCCTGGGAGACGATGACACAGAGACCCTAAACAATGTCCTGTCTGGCAACTGGTACTTTGACGAGGAGACCTTTGAGGCTGTGTCAGATGAGGCCAAAGACTTTGTCTCCAACCTCATCGTCAAGGAGCAGGGGTGAGGTTCCCCACAGGACGGGGACCCCTTGTGTGCAAGCCCAGTGCCTGCGTACGCAGCAGGGTGGGAACTGGCTGGAAGGCCAGCTGGGCTCTGGTGCCGAGCGGGCATGCCACCCACCCTCGCCACACTGCCCCCTCCCCTCAGAGCCCGCATGAGCGCTGCCCAGTGCCTCGCCCACCCCTGGCTCAACAACCTGGCAGAGAAAGCCAAGCGCTGTAATCGACGCCTCAAGTCCCAGATCTTGCTTAAGAAATACCTCATGAAGAGACGCTGGAAGGTACTGCTGGGCTGGGGGCGGGGGGAGGGAGGGAGGGGCTGCGAGGCGGGAAGAGCTCCTGGCACCAGATCCCAGGCCCCGCCAGGCCTGCCTTGGCGGGTTCTGTCGACCAGGCCTGGCCCTGTCTGGAAAACAGGGTTGGCTTTTCTCTCTTTGTCCTGGGCTGGCTGCTGGCCCTCCACCCTGAGGAGGGGCGTCCATCTGGGGCTCGGGCTCAGGAAAAGGTCTCCGACCTCATCACAGGCTTCCTTCCTTCATGTTACAAATATTTATTGAGCCTCTACTACTTCCATGCGCTGGGGATACACCAGGGGATAAAAGAGACCAAGGATTTCAGTCTTCGTGGATTTACTTTTGGGCAGGGGTGGGGTGGGGTGGGAGATTTAAAAAGGTTAAGGAAGGGCTCTAGAAAAAATAAGGGTAGTCAGGAGTGCCAGAGGAGAGGTTGTACTTCTAGGTAGAAGGGAGGACTCACTGAGAAGAATGGGAACAAAGACCTGAGAGAGGTGAGGTGTGAACAGTGTGGTAATACGGGGAAAGTGTCCCAGGCAGAGGGAACAGCCACTGCAAAGGCCCTGAGGTAGAAGCATGGTTGGCAAGTGTGAGGAACAGGCAGAAATCCAGTGTGGATGGAGTAAAAGGGTCAAGGAGGAGGGGGAGAGGAGCTCAGAGAAAAGTGGGAGGCAGGGTATGGAGAGACTCATTGACCACGGTGAGGGGTTTATCTTCTACGTGGAGCACCTTGAGCAGAGCACTAGTCTGGCTGACAAATCTGTTGAATGAAGGAAGGAATCCTGTGGCCATTTTGAGTACTGCACCCTCCCTGGCACCTGGCCCTTCTGCAATAAAGGGGACCTTCGGAGACCCTCAGCTGTCCCATAGCTCTTCCCCTGCCCTGATGCTGACTGCGACCCCTCTTCCTCCTCCCCCAGAAAAACTTCATTGCCGTCAGCGCTGCCAATCGCTTCAAGAAGATCAGCAGCTCGGGAGCACTGATGGCTCTGGGGGTCTGAGCCCCAGGAGTGGCTGAGGCCTGGATGCAGCTGCACAGTGGCCAGGGCTGAGGCCACACAGCCCAGAAGGCCAGCGCAGACGGGCCAGACCCCAGGGTGGGCTGGCCAGGACAAGGCTGCGCCAGGCTGGGAGGCTCGGGGCTCCCCACGCCCCCACACAGTGACTGCTTCCCCGATGAGAGCTGCCTCGGATGTGGTCTGAGTCCATCCTGCTAACGCCTTCCCAGACGGGGCTCCGGCCCTTCAGCCGCAGCCCAGGCGCCACAGGCTTGTTGATCCCTCCCCGGCTCCCTCCTTTTGGAACTGCTGCCCTGCCCTGCTTGGCCCCACCAGGGCACCCCTGGCCTGGGCTTGCTCCTAGCTGAAGTAGGAGGGCTGGGGGTCCTGGCGTGTGGGGCTCCTACGGCTGTGGATGGGAGGCTCCAGGCGGGGCAGGAAGGCAACGAGGTCGATTCCTGAGGCCCAGCTGCAGCGGAGACAGAGCAGGCTTTGTGAGAAAGGATCTTTATGCCCTGCCCACCTCCCCACACCCAACAGATAAGGCCCAGCACACGCCATCTGGCCAGGTCCAGCTCCCGCCCACCTTCCTGGCCGACCACCAACACACAGGAACTCTGTGTGAGAGAGAGGACGCCCAGCCCAGGCCTGGTGGAGGGGGCAGGGAGGGGCCTGGGGCACACGGGAGACCACCCCCGAGCTTGCTAGAGGGCCAAGCCGGCTCCGCCTAGCCACTCTGGACTCCTACCCCAGGGGTCATCCTTGGGCCTCAGATGGTAGGGTCAGCGGGCCCAGGAGTAGCGAGAAGGCCATGGGGCAGCCCCCAACCTGCTCTCAGCTTGTGCCTTGTAAATAAATGTACAGGTTGGATGTGGCCTCCTTCCCTCTGTGTTCACTTAGGTGAAGTCACAGACAACTCCTATTCATTGAGAACTACTGTTCGCCAGGCACATTAGTGACATCCATCGGTTCGCAGTGTAGTGGTCACCAGCACAGCCTCAGTAGCCAGACTGCCCAGTGCATGATCTGGGCAAGTGGCTTCCTTACTTTGTGCCTCAGTTCCCTCATCTGTGAGAGAGAGGTCACAGCACCAGCTAACATTTATTGGGTGACTATTGCGTGTCAGGCTCTTTTTAAGCACTTGCATGTGTATTAACTCACTTACTCTTCACTGAGGGGGAAACTGAGGCTCATAGAGGGGAAGAAACTTAAAGACTACTTGACAAGTCAGAATCTAGGGCTTGAAATGGATTCTCCCATCTCCCCAAGCAGGGTTCTGCTCACGAGCCACTCTGCTTCTCACCAGAGCAAGGCGGAAGCAGAGCGCAGGGTCTCTGCTGGGCCTGCAGTGACGGGGTTCTCCCAGGAGGCCTTGGGAGAGAGCTCTTCTCTGCTGGGCCACATCCCACCTCACCTTAGGCCTGCGCTGCAGAGAAGGGGCTCCATCTGCTGGGGGTGGGGGAATAAAGCAGGACATTGAATCAGAAGTGGGACTGACCTAAGTGGGACAGCTGGTCTACCTGCTGCGCTGGGGGCACGTACCTATTGATTCCAGCAGGAAGAGCAGTGACAGCAGTTCATATGCGTTGACCACGTGCTGGGTGCTGGACCTGGCCCAGTTCTGTGTGTTCACAATCACATTAACTGTTCAGAGTAACTCTGCACAGTGGGCATTGTGTTGTGTCCATTTCTCAGTTGGGAAAGCCAGGCTTCAGGGAGGGTAAGTCACTTGCTCAGGGTCACATAGCTAGTCAGTGGCATAGCCAAGATTTGGACCCAATCTAGGCCCAGAGCCCATGCTCTTAACTGCTAAGCTGCCTGCCTCCTGAGCATCCTGGATTTGCTCTCAAACCAAGACCACGACAGTTCATGCCCCCCTTCCCCTGCCTCTATGAACGCTGTCCTCACCGACACTCCCGGACTCCTCCAGCAGATGGATGCAGAGTCCCACTGCAGCAGGTTCCACAGGGGGCAGGTGACTCTAGGCTCTGAGCCTGGTAGGGTTTCCAGTCAGGGATATGGGGTGCTTGGGGAGCCTGGCCGGGGCTCTCGGAGGGACATGTGTTTATGGACAAGGCCCCCATGGCCATGGATCACTGCCTGCCTGCCCGCCTGCCACCTGCCAGCTGGGCCAAGCCTGTGGTTTCCTCTGAGTTCTCTCAACCTTGCTGGTCCCCACCCAGGCTGAGCCTTGGCCACACAGCAGGATGATGAGGGATGAGTCACCGCTGTGGGGTCGGTGGGGGCGGTGGCGGGGGCGGGTGAGGAGGAAATGAGGTCCAGTGAGAGCAGAGATTCAGGGCCTGGATCCAGCTGGGGAAACCAAGGCCCAAACGAGGAAGCTTCCTCAGCAGGGACAGCAGCAGCTGGGGCTAGAACCTAGGACCCCTGACTCCCAGCACAAGCCTCAGTTTCCCCCTGTATAATATGAAAACCTCAGCTCTGCTCTCCTCTGCCATTCCTAGGGCCTTAGTGACTATCAAGATATGGGATTGGGTGCTCATTTCACCATATTTCACAGGTGAGGAAACAGGTTCAGAGAGGGAAAGTGACTTGACCAAAGCCACACAGCAAATTAATATGTCGTGGGCAGGAAGCCCACCCAGAATCATGGACCAGAGCTGATCACGGCCTCTGCCCCCATCCCCTCCCAGGAGTACTCCTTAGGAAGCTCTTTTTGATTCATTAGGTGCCCCTTTAGGCCTCCCCTGGTGGCTGGAGGTAACAATAAGGATGGGGAAATGGGAATTCAGAGAGGTTTTGCTCCCTTCAAGGGCAACAGAGCACCCCTAGAAAAAAAGCTGGGTGGCAGCCCCTAAAATGGGGCTCAGTCTCTGCCCCTCTGCAGGCCTGGGTGCAACCCCATCACGAAGGCTCCCATCCCTGGCAGCCTGTTGCGGGGGAGCTTGTTTGCCCTAGGACCCACCCTGAGAGAGGGAGCGAACCCTCAGCTGGCCTGGGCCTGCCAGCTGTACCAGGGCCAGTGCCAAGGCCCTGGGCCTGGGCTTCTGCAAGCCCTGGGTGCCAGGCTATGGCTGCCTGCCGCCCCTTGTGTGGTGTGCCCTGCCTGCCATGGTGCTTCATTGTGGGCTCCTCCTGCATGGAGCCCTTCACAAGGCTGATGCTGCGACCTTTCCCGCAAGGTGCGCTGTGCCTCATGGGGCCACAACCACGGGCTTCTTCGGCCCAGTGTTCTGGGCCCCGTTGGTGGGGTTAGAAGGGTTAACAGTCTCAATGGGACAGCTCCTCCCGGTTGGTCCTGGCCCAGAGAGTGTTCCTCCAAGACTATTTCCTGCCTCTGGGCCTTGGCCAAGCCCACAATGACCACCCCATGGGTTTGAGGCTGCATCTGGTTTGGATTACACCAGGGCTGGTGACGCTGCCTTTTCCTGTCTGTGTCCAATGGCCTCGAATTCCACAGGCCACCTTAGGCCCAACAGGGCAGTGGTGGGAAAAGATTCAGCCAGCGATAGGGCTGCCTCGAGGGTGTGAAGCAGCCAGGGCTGCCCTGGAGGATGTGCCCCCTGGCCCAAGCTCCCACTCCGCGCCACTGCCCACCCCCTGTTCCTCCCTCCGCTCTGATGGGCTTTATTTATCGAGCACCAGACGCTGCACCGAGCGATTCCACATATAAACTCATTTCATCCCCAGCATTGCACAGATGAGGAAACTGAGGCACAGGGAGTTTGTGGACAAGTCCATGGATTCCCAGCAAGTAAACAGTGGCATCAGGATGCAAAGCCAGCAGTCTGGCTTCTGACACATCCCGTCACTTCGCAGTTATTTGTGGGGTCCCTGCTCTGGGCCTGGCCCCAAGCTAGAGCCTGGAGATGAATTAGTCATGGTCCCTGCCCTTGGGGAGTTCCCAGCCTCTGGAACCCCAGTGGGTAGGAGGTTGGGGATGACAGTGAAGCTGGAAGGACATGGAAGAAGACACTAACCCCCATTCTCTCTCGAGTCAAAGTGACCACCAAGCTGAGAGCAAATAGGAGGAGGTTTTTTCCAGATTAAGGGAAGAGAGTGTTCCAGGCAGAGGCGGAGTCAAGTGTCGGAAGATGTGGCACTGAGAACAAGCGTGCCTTGGAGCACTTCACTAGGTTTTTGCGTATGATGAAGCAGGGGATGAGTCTGGAGAAGTTGCCAGGGCCTCAAATGCCAGACTGGATTGGGGCGATAGGGAGCCATGGAAGAGTTTTGAGCAAAGAAGGGGCATGGTTAGAGCTGCGTTTCAGAAGGATCTCTGCAGCCAGGGAGGTCAGTGAGTGGGACAGAGACTGGAGACAGGGAGACCAGAGAGAGGCGAGGCCGTGTCTGCTTGAGTGGCTATGAGAACGGTGGTGACAAGAGGAGCCAGACAAAGATCTCATACACCTCCCAGGAGACAGGCTGGTGACAAAGAGGTTGGGTACAGGTCAGGCAGAACAGGGCTCTTATCTATTTACCTTTTATGGACCCCAGATTCCTGTCTCTGAAATGGGGTAATAAAGATACCTGCCTCCCAGAGCCAATACAAAAGTTACTGAGGTGTGTAGGTAGAGCGTGGCACAGGCTGCTGACTTTATGTCTGTCCCACAACTATTCTTCCAGCTCCTACTATGTTCCAGACACTGTTCTAGGTTCTGGGGACAAGCAGCCCATTGACAGAAAAAAATCTCTGGCCTCATGGAACTTCATTCTAGTGGAGAAATCTCTGAAGGCAACAATGCACCTAGAATGCGTTGGTGAGGTGGATGGGGACGTGGTAGTCATGAGGGAGGGGCTTCTCTGAGAACTGGAAGGAGCGCTCACTGGGACACTGTTCCAGGCAGGAGAAAGAGCAAGCACGATGGCTGTTTGGAGGGAAGGCAGGGCAGGGCACCGGGAGGTGAAGCCAGATCATTCAGGTCCCTAGGATGTGGGATTTTGCTCTGAGTGAGCCAGGGAGCCCTGGAGGGGTTCGCAGAGATTTAATTCATGGCAAATGAATGAATGGGTGACAGTGACTCCCCTTGTTCACTCAGGAAACCTTTATTGAGGCCCTGCTCTGTGCTGGTCACCCGGTTAAGGAAGTGGGTACAATGATTAAGGCCAACCCAGCTCCTGCCTCCTGAAGCTTAGAGTCTAAGGCAGAAACACAATAAAAAGCAAACACACACAGAAAGGGGTAAACCCACATGGCAATAGGTGCCGGGAGGAGGAAATAAACAGAGTGCAGAGAAAGAGAATAATCTAGGGACACCTAATCAGATGGCAGTGGGGGGCAGAGGGAGAAGGAGCTTCGCTGAGGAGGCGATATTTAATCTGGGGTCTGAATGTGGAGAAGTCAGTCAGTGGGGAGTGAGCGTTCCAGGTGGTGGGGCGGACCTGCAAGTGCAAAGGCCTGCAGGTGGAAAAGACATCCACCAGTGAATCAACTGTCTTAACTTGGAGCAGGCTTTCCTTCATATCCGAGAGATTGGTGCACCCCGAGAACTGTGGTCAGGAGCAGGCTGCCCTGGCGTTTCCAGGGAACACTAGGCCAGGCTTTGACCGACTCTGGCCTGCTTTTAGTTTGGAAATGCTTCCTTCAGCCCCACCAGCTGCCTCTCTGAGTTACCAGCCAATTACCAGCACGGCAAGAATAGGGGATTAGACACCGTCAAACCTGCAGGGATGGAGGTCTTGCCACGTGCAGAGGAAGGGGCAGAGAGCACTGAGCTGGGCCCTCCAGTAGGGCTGTTTTAGGTTCCAACTTTATTCTCATTGATCGAATTGTACACATAGTGTGTGGGCTTCCCCCATACCAGTCCTGGGAGTTGGAATCATTACCCCGTTTTAAGATGAAGAAACTAGAACTCAGAGAGTTGAATCCACTTGCTGAGGTCACACAGCGAGGAAGAAGAGATGCCAGGAATTAAATCCAAAGCCTTGTCTATATAACAGTCTTTTCTCCCTGCATCCCTCCGCCTCCACAGCAGCTTGACCTTCGCTTGGGGGTAAACCAGCTTAAGGGGACATGCCCCCCAGGTCCAAATATTTATTTATTGTATTTAACAAACACTTATATTGCAGTTTCCACGTGCTATACTTTGTTCTAAGCACTTTACAAGTATTAATTCATGTAACCTTCACAATAACCCCGTGGGAGTAGGTATGGTTAATGTTCACATTTTATAGATAAGAAAAACACAGAAAGGGGAAGCAACTTGTCCAAGGTCACATAGCTAGAAATCAACGGAGCTGGGATCTGAGCAGGCAATTTGGCTCCGGGGCTCTTGCTCTTAGCTGCAACATCTATGGTCTCTGGCGGCCTGGCCTTCAGGGAGATGGGGCCTGTGCGGGGGTGGGGGGCGGTTTGGCTGGGGCCTGGGTTTCTGGGTTCCACGCACTCCCAGCATGCGGACATGCCAGGCCGGTCGACGGCCTCCCCCTTCTTTCTTCCTCATCAGTTGGTCGCCTCTGAGTGCCCCGCCCTTCGAGGGAGAGGGTCCCCCCACCCCTGGCCCAGGGGCTGCCTGGGTGTGGGAAGGAGTGTTGAACTCTGGGCAGCGGAATGCCAGAAACCAGGGAAGGAAACGGGTGGGTGGGAGGGGAGATAAGCTGTGGAGGGTGGAGGAGCTGGCTGAGGAAGGCCCAGCCCTGTGCATTGGGGGGGCGGCCTCCTTTGGGGCAGGGCGAGCACAGACCGAAGGACCAGCAGGTGAAGAACTTCCTGACAGCCCTTTGGAGCTGTTGACCCCGGTGGGGCTGGAGGGGGCTGCCTCTGAAGTCAGGGAGCTCCCTTTTCCTGGAACTCACATGACAGGCACTTCTTGGTGTAGAGGGATTCAGAAATCAAGTGGGAGACATCCTTTCCACTCTGATATTCCAGGAATCTGAGTTGCTGTGATTAAACACTCTGGACTGCTCTGAAATACCACTGATTTTACCGTTTTCAATTTTGACTGAGCAAGGTGACTCAGTACCCATTTTTAAAAATCCTCACCCAAGGATATTTTTATTTTTATTGTTTTATTGAGTTTTAGAGACAGGGAGAAACATTGATGTGAAAGAGAAGCATTGATAGGTTTTCTCCCATATGTGCCTTGACTGGGGGTGGAACCCACAACCTGGACATGTGCCCTGACCAGGAATCGAACCTGCAATCTTTTGGCGTATGGGACAATGCTCCAACCAACTGAGCCACCCAGCCAGGGCTCAGTATCCTTTTTGGCTCTAACCAGCATGGAGGAGGAGTTGGGGCTGTGATCCCCTCCTGGTTTCAGACAAGCCTGCAGTGCAAAGGGTCCTTGAAGCGGAGACAGATGGGATGGCCCTTGTCCAATAAGAGCTTAAAGCAGCAGAAGGGAACCATCGATGGGGAGAGAAGCCAGTTCTGCTCCAACCTTGCTGTGTGGCCTTGGGCATGTCACTCCCCTTCCCTGGCCTCTATCTCGCCATCTAGGCAGAGGCGCATTCTCCGGGTTGGCCCCGCTTGAGCATCCTGCATCTCTGCTCAGCACTGTCCACCCCCTCCAGGTGGGGGTGGCCAGGCAGGAGCCAGAGGGCGTCTGTTGGTCATGGAAAGAATGTGAGGGCAGGAGGCCCAGTGGGTGGGGTCCTAGGGCTGCGCAGCAAGCAGAGGGCAACATGAGATCCCGGTGTCTGGGCCTCTTGATGCAGCACCTCTGAGGATGGGATCCCCTCCAGGCCATCCCCCAGGTCATACCCTCCTCTGGGACCCAGACTCAAAAAGTCAAGCTGTTCCCCTGCTCTCCCACTCCCCTGGGGCAAAGGGAATGAAATCAGGGCCAGAGAGGTGGGCGCTGGTCCAGTCTTATACAGCGATCCAAGGCAGGCACTGAGCCCAGGGTCTTGCTTGGGGATTGAGGCTGACGGGGGCCTGTCTTCACTTCTTGACTATGTTGGGAGGCAGAGAGAGACATGGAGAGGGGGCCCTTGCCCAGAGGTGAACCTGTGCTCCCAGGGGTGACTGTTGTGCATGTTTCCCCAGGGCAAAGGGCGGGCAGGGGATACAGCTTTCTTCTCCCCAAGCCCCCACCCCAGTTCAGAAGCTAAACCTTCTCAGGGGAGGCCCCGGCAGGATGCAGAGGCCTGGGCTCCCCCGGGCAGGCCAGCCTCCCCGCCCTCCGACTAGCTCCGGACAAGGCCGGGAAGGGACTGGGGTCACCGGGTCTCCTCAGGAATGCACCACAGGGAGCAGTGCCTGGCAGAGGCCTCTTTCCCTGTCCCGACTGAGAAAGAATCCCCACTCCCCTGAATCTGCTTGTCCTTGTCTCTATAACTGTCTGTCTCTGTGCATCACACGCACGCGCGCGCGCACACATACACACACACACCGCGAGACATACTGACCCACACAGACACACGCCATTGTACAAATCCATGCAAGGGCCTCCTTCCCCTCTTCTCGCCCATGCCCCCATGCAGGACTTATCTCTCCTCCCCTCTCAGCCATGGGGCTGCCCCAATGCGACAGGACAGACCCTCTCTCCTCCCCATCACTCGATGGGTTTCAGGCTGGAGTCTGGCAGGCAGGCTGGGGAGGGACCCCACAGCTGGCCAGGCACTTTCCCAACCCCTCTGGCCTCAGTGAGCCTCCACCCTGCAGGTCCCCCTTCCACCCTGGCTCTGGAGTCTGTGGGAACCAGACAGTGGGGGCTGTCCAGCCGGGCTTGCTTCCTCCCGGGCCCCAGGGGACCTGCCGAGGGAGGAGGGAGGAGCAGAGACTGAAGTTGGTGTGGCGGCCTGCCCAGGAAGCGCCTCTGGAGGGGACTGGGCTGCCTGCCCGATGAAGGGGTCTCCAGCTCCCTGGGTGTCACCTTGTGGGACATGAGACCCCCCCCCAGGCCACTACACCAAAACCAGAAGCGGGGTTCCCCAGTCTCCCTGGCCTTTCTCTTCTCTCCCTATACCCATGATCCAGACGGAGGAACTGAGGCTCTGGAAGGAAGCCTCAGCAACTCTGGTTTTTCGGGGGTAGGGAGACAGTGACGTTTCAGGTCCCTAAGTCCGTTCCTCTGATGAGGGCCACAAATGTACCCATTTCTTCTGCTTCCCCAAGGGGGCAGCTAGAGAAGACCAAAGGTCAGGGCTCTGTCACTTCTGCTGTGCCCGGGACAGCCACCTCAGCCCCCATGAGAGAAATGCTTCCTTAAAAGAGTCACTAGGAGAGCTCAGAGAGCTGGGGACTCAGGGAGGCCCCATTCGTGAGGGAAATCCAGGCAAGAGGATTGGTACCTGCCCTGTGAGCTGTGAGAGGCATAAGCAGGGCCTTTTTAGCACTGGCATTTGAATCCCTACCCCCCTGCCCCCCATCCCTGGGCTTCTCCCCAGACACGACCAGCCCTGCTTATACCCTACAAGGCACCTCTATGTCCTCTCTCAAACTGCAAGCCAGGCGCTGGGGACAATGTACACAGACCTAATTTTGTTTTTCTCTCTGCCATTTATGTGCCACCTGGAGTCAGAGCTAGGCACGCTAACCTCTCCAAGCCTCAGACTCCACCAATGTCAAATGGTGATGCCATTCTGTACCACACAGGTGAGAGGAGATATACATATACCTGGGATGGAATAAATGTCACAAATGGTCACAGCTACCCTGACTGCTCATGATGGGGACAGCCGAGTCACAGAGTTTGGGACTGGAGAACCAGCCCCTCGGGCCAGGCCAGCCTCACTCCCTGCTTGGTTTTTCTCATGGTCGCGTCCCTCCTCTCTCTCCCCCATTCCCTGCTCCCCCTTTCTCTGCCTGTCTGGGAAACTCCCTGAAAAAGTCCCCAGCAGGAGAAGTCCTCATGAGGGATATTTCCAGCAGGGGTCTCTCACTGCTGCCATACAACCCCACAATCACAGTCCCGTCCCCCCACAGAACCAGGCGTCCGGCCCTCAGCCCCCAACCATCCAGCAAGCTGATCCTCATTATCACACTGGCTTTATTGGCCCTGAGAGCCACAGAGGAAATCCCAAGGGGGCTCTGCTTCCCCTCACCCCAAGTCTGTCCGGAGGCCCTGGGGGCTCGTTGAGTGTCCTCTATTCCAATCTTGGCTTCCTGTCCCAGTTGCTGTTGGCTTGCCAGACCTGGGTCCTTTGAGAGCTCCCCAGATCCTAGAGTCAGGCTCAGCCAGGAGGATGTGGTGGGAGGGGTCCCGCAAGGTCTGCCCGAGGCCAGGCTGGCTTCACTCAAAGAAGAACATTCCTGGAGTCCGGTATAGGCAGGGGGTCAGTCCCAATGGGTAGCCGGAGCCTCCCTGGACAGGGAAGCTGCCTGCAACCCAGGGCTCCTTGGGGTCCGCTGGCAGGGGCAGCGGGCCCCGCAGTGAGGCTGGAGGGGTGGGAGTTGCAGGGGAGGGGGCTGCTGAGGCCAAGAGGTGTTCAAGGCCTGGGTCAGTGCCCATGCAGAAATTCAGGGCCTGCAGCCGGCACTGGTAGCTACTCCCAATGCCTGCTTCGGGGGTCAAGAGGGGTGTAGGGGCCTTGCTAAAACCCTCAGCCTCAGAGAAGCTGGCCGGAAAGCCAAATGCTGAGCATGATGAAGATGAAGTGGCCACGGGGAGCTCTCCTGAGCCTGCAGGCTTGGGTATGGGCATCTCTTTGGGCTCCGCGGATGACCGGGACCTGACATCGGTGGTTGCCGGGCACGTATTGGCTGGCAAGGTCCCCACCAACCCCCCAAAGCTTAGGCCTTTGGGCTCTGAAAGTTCTGGCAGGAGCAGGCACTGCCTGCCAGTCGTAGTATCAGGGACTCCTGGGTCCTGGCTGGTGGCTCTGAGGGGTCCTCGGCGTGCCTTGGCAGGGCCCTTGGTGCCTTCAACACCTGCCCGCCGGGTGAAGCGTCGGCGTCGGCGCAGGAAACTGCCGTGCTCGAACATGTCGTGGCAGTCGGGGTCCAGCGTCCAGTAGCTGCCCTTGCCTGGCTTGCGGTCATCGCGGGGCACCTTGACAAAGCACTCGTTGAGTGACAGGTTGTGGCGAATGCTGTTCTGCCAGCCCGGCCGGTTGTGGCGGTAGAAGGCGAATCGGCCCATGATGTAGCGGTAGATGCCACTGAGCGTGGCCCGCTGTCCCGGGGAGCTCTGGATGGCCATGGCGATCAGGGCTATGTAGCTGTAGGGGGGCTTGGTTGGCTCAGATGCAGGGGCCAAGGGCCCTGATGGGGGCTGCTGTTGCATGCTGGCCGGGCTGGCCGGGCTGGCCGGGCTGGCCGGTCTGGCGGCTGCCGGAACCACGGGAGCCAGGCACGGCGTCCAGGGCTGGTGTCCGGCACAGCCTGCCCAGGCTGGTTAAAAGGCCCACTGGCCCAGCCTCCCTGCCTGGAAAGGCAAAAAGGGGTGGGCCCGCCAGGCTGCCCTCCCTTCCTCCTTCGCCCCCCTCCTCCAAGGCCCAAGAGGGGCGGGCAGGAGAGGCCAGGATTGGGAAGTTTTGAGCAGCTGCCAGGGGTAAGGAGTTGGGAGAGAAGAGACCCTCAGCCCACATGTGCTGGGTGGTGGGTGGCTGGGGAGGGATAGGATGTGAAACTGGGGACAACAGAGACAGAAGCAAAAAAAAAAAAAAGAGGCAGAGATGTAAAGAGACAGAGATAGTGGGAAAAAAAAGACAGAGACAGAGAGAAAGGAAGGTAGAGACATAACTAGAGACAGGAACACAGAGAGAGAGATAGAGGCAGAGACATTAAGAGAGACAAAGATAAGAGAAAACACACACACACACACGCATCCATGTAGTTATACAGAAAAAGAATCATTAACATAGAGAAATAAAGAAATCTACCGAGATAGGAAAAGGTAGATACACAGAGAGACACAAGTACAGACACAAGAGAGGGAGGGGCAGAGAGACAGTCTTCTCTGATGAGAGACAGGAGAAGTAGAACCTAAGTACAGAACCAGAGAACTGGGAGTCTCCATGAGAAAAGCCACCAAGTGCCTCTCAAGTCCCCACTTCCAGTTTCCCTTTTCTCCTCTCCTCCTCCTCCTCCCAGGCCTGTGGTCTACTTCACCACAGTGCAGGTCCTTGAGGTCACACTGTTACCTGCCTTGCTCTCACTGGGGTGTCTGTGGGATGGGGCGGCACCCAGGCTGGTGATGAGAGTCAGCCAAACCTGGTCTGCTGAGTCCTGGCGCCCTCTAGTGACTGATGTGAGGAAAACAACTATTGGGCAGAGACATCGCCCCTCCCAAGAGGTATATCGAGCCAAGTCCCTGACCCTGGCTGAGACTCAGTTTCCCATCTCTAAAAGCGAAACTGGTGACTCTCCATTCGTCTGAGCTGTGGCGAGGAGGCAACAGGCTCCCTTACATGGAATCCACAACCCTCTGAGAACCTAGCATAGAGGAGGACATGGTTGAGGGCTATCGCTCTGAACTGAGGCCTCCCGCCAGCTGCGGCCTTGGGCTGGGGGTACAGCAAAACCCAGGACAGACACTCAGGCTTTCTGAAGGTCGTGGCTGCCTCCTCCATGTTCATCCAACCACAAGAAACCAAGTCAGAGGGCACGAGCTGTGTGCCACTCTCCACACTGGGTCCATTCGCCTCCTTTCACATTTACTTCTCAGGCCACCACTGTTCCAGAGACCTTCATAGCTTCTTTGGGTAGATGAGGAATCTGAGGCTCAGAGAAGTTAAGTGACTTACTTAAGGTCACACAGCTAGTGAGCGAAAAACCTAGGATTTCAACCCAGGATTCTGTAACTCCTTAACCTCATGCTTCCTGCGAGGGGCAAGAATAGAACAGCCACTGGGGCCCCCCTGGAAAACAGGCTGTGAATCCCAAGAAAGTAGAGATCATGCTGTTTTGTTCTATCTCCAGTGCCCAGCCTTAGCCTGCAGACAGGTGCTCAATCAACATGTTGAATGAATTATAAAAATAGTGATCTGATTGACTTCTGTCTTTTCCTGAATCAGTTTCCCCCCATAAAAGTAGCATATTAATGTATCAGTAAAAGAGATTTATTATGTTGCCATTTGTAAAAGGAGTCCTAAAAAGTCAGAAATCAGAAAAGGGAAAATGGTCTGATGTCTGGGGCAGAAAACAGCGACTTACTGACAAAGCAGGGTTGGCTGCCTTCCTGGCTGAGGGGCTCCCTGCAATTCTCAAGAATTTCCTACAACTTCCAGTTTGCAAAGTTTGAAGGGGCTTGGGGAGGGGCTGGACTCCTGCTCCCCATTTTGGCTTCTGCCTTAGGGCTCTGTTTGGGGGTCTGCCTCAGTTTCTCCAAAGAAAGTATCTCATGGTGCTGGTGGCTCAGTGGTCAGCATCCAAAGTCCCAGATTCAGGCGAAGTCCTCTGTTTGGGGATCTCCTCTGCCCACACACACCCAGAAAGAAGAGAGATGGGGCACTTGCTGTCCCTAGTGGCAGGTAGGAGGAAAGGTCTGGAAACTCAGAGCCCCTTGAGGTCCCACTCTAAACAACCCTGAGGATCTAATTATTAGTAAACTCGGCTTTAAGAAAAGCTTATAATGGATAAATCACAGGTAAGGTCTGTTTTAGATAAACCTCTATAGGAATGCTGGGCTCTCAATAAACAGGTGAAGTCTTGTTTCTTCTGCCCTAATTTCTGTTTCAGGAATCTTAAGGTCGAGTTCAGTTTCCATCTGACACCCCAGGCCCAGCTGTGGACCCATCAACCTATGTGTTCCAGGGCTACATCTCCTCAGCTCAGAGGCTGAAGGCCACGATCAGCTTCCCCCATCCCAACCCACATGGGCGGTGGGTGGGCAGAGAACCCAAGTCCACTGGCTCAGTTTGTGCAGGGCTGGGGTGGACCCACATCCTGGGGTGGGCCCACACCCTTCTTTCTGGGCTGCCTTTAGAGGGTACAGGAGGCGGAAATGGCTTCTTAGGGCTGGCTTAGCTGTGTCATCAAGCGAGCGATGCCATCAGAGATTTGCGGACTAGGGGCCAGTCGCCAGAGCACTGTGGTTGTGGTGCTTCGAGTGTAGCAGGAGCTCTCGCGCAAAGACTGGCTCCACCTGTGGGAGGCAGAAGGTGGGGCAAGGAGATAGCTTTCTTCCTTACCCATCCCCTGTGTTCTCGTGGGAAGTCACAGCCCTAGTGACAGCCCCCTCCTCACAGGGATTGTACATGCGGGGTCATACAGACCAGAGGGTCAGAGAGCAGGTCAGGGGTAGAGCTGGGACTAGAGGGAGCAGTGAGGGGCTGTAAGGAGGAGACCGAAGGGTGTGCTTCTCCACTAGAGTGGGGAGGTGACTCACGTGGGCCATGACGAGCCGCTCCTGGGGCTGGTCCGCGGGGCCTGGGTACTCCTCGCCAAAGCACAGACGAATCTGGTACTCCGGCTCCGGGCGACCATCCTGCAGATGGGCCTGCAATTCTACGGGCATTGAGGCTGTGGGGGCTGGGCCAAGATGAGGCATCCCACCTGGTGCCCCTAGCCCATGCCCACGTCCTGTAAGCCCACATCTCCTTTCTGAATGCCCATGCCCTATGCCACTTCCACATCCTTATGCCTGTCTCATCTCCCGCATCCGTGTCTGCTTCCAGCGCTCATGCCCATGCCTTGTGCCCTGATGCTCACTGCCACACCTTTATGCCCACCCATGCCCACTGCCACTCACCTAGGCCTACCTCGTGCCCAGTGCCCCTGATGTGCACCCTATGCTTAGTGCCCTGTGACAACACATATGCCCAAGTCCCATGCATGTGCCCCACACCCGTGCCCCACAGCCAATGCCCCAAGCATGTTCCTCGCCTATACCTCCCATCTGTCCATGTCAGTATCTGTGCCCATCCCTCTTGAGGCCCGTATTTGTTCCCACTCCTGGTACTTCTGTGCCATGTCCTTTGTTTCGATGTCCACGCCATGTCCAGCATCCTCAAGCCCATTCCCCTGCTCCCACAGCTCGTGTGCCCTGTCTTCTCTGCTCACGTCCCTTTGCCCACCCTTGTGTCCAGCCACTCTGGCCGGCGCCACCAGCAGTCCCACCTTCACACTCTTACCTGAGAGGAAGCGGCGCGTGTCGAGCAGCTGGCAGGTGCGCTCGCGCTCCAGTTTGTTGGGCTGCTCGCGGTGCGGGGCAAGCGGGCCGCGCCAGTACACGCGGCCCTGGCACAGGCGCTTGGCGAATACGCCCTCGGGCGCCACCCACAGCAGCACGCCGCGCTCCAGGTGCGGCAGCAGGCGCTGCAGCACGCGGGCACCGGGTGGCGGCTCCGGGAAAGGAACCTGCGCGACGCGCGGTGGCAGCCCCAGCAGGCGCTCCGCGGCGGAGGCAATGGCTGCCCGGGGGCTCAGTCGGCAACCCTCCGCCGCGCGCGCGGTGGCTTCGCGCACCAGCTCCGTGCCATAGAACAGTCGCACGTGCAGCCAGCAGTCTGAGGAAAGGGGAGAGAAGGCGCACGCCAGGCCTTGGTGGCGCCAGTTCCCGCCCCCCATGCCCACCAATAACAGAACCAGGGACCCTGAGGTCCTCCCAGCCCCCTCCTCAGGAGATTTTGGAGGTTCCTCCCGATAAGTGATAATAACTTTAGTGGTGGTGGTAAACAATCGCAGCTTCCAGGATAAAAGAACTGATAGTTGAGCATCAAATATTAGGGTCTGGGGCCATCTGTACAATAGGGGCACCACACTGAGACCCTCCAGCCCCAACTTCTGGGATTTTGGAAGCTTCCTGCCAGCAAATATTTTAATGCTGGTGGAAATAACAACAGCAACAAAACAGCAGCCTCCCATGTGAGGAGCCAGCAGTGTGCTCAAGTGGTTAAAGCTGTGGGCTTTGCAGACAGGCCCTCGGATTCTAATCTCTCGCTGCCACTTAGGAGCTGTGACCTGTTATTAACTTTCCCTGGTTACTAGCTTCGGGACTTTGGGGAAGGTTCTTAACCTCTGTGTCTGGTTTCTGCATCTGTAAAATGGAAGTGATGGCAGGATCTATCACTCGGGACTGTGGAGGGAGTTTAGAAGAATGCCTGGAATAAACTAAGCCCTCAACGAAAGCCAGCTGTTGTTATTGGGAGTCTGGGCTGGGTGCTTTGGGTGGGAGACAGAAGTTAGCTGGCTCCAACCCTGGGCCTTCCCCATTCCACACAGTGGTCAGAGGGTGAAGACTTCAGACTCCTTACCTGGGTTGCTGAAGTCCTCAGAAGGCAAAGGGCTCCAGGGTTGTATGGGGTCCTGTGCCTGGTACCCTGGGGAAGGAGGGGAAGCAGTCAGCTACCACCTCACCCTGGGTCCCTTGACCCCTAGATCAAGGCCCTGGGGGAGGCCAGGGAGGAGGCAGGAGTGGGTGAGCAGACCCAGCACTTACTGTGGTCAGCCAAAGGGCCCGGGAGCAGGGCAGCCAGTGGCAGCGAGCCCTGCTGGGCCAGCCTGAGAGGCTGCTCCTTGTCTTTATCCTCTGTGGCTAATGTGGAGCCAGCCTGTGCATCAGGAGAGAGGGTTGTGAGGGTGGGAGAGGTGTTCCTAGACTGTCTGCCCTAGGGTGGAGGGGCCTCTGGGCAGGCTGAAGGCCAGCTGGGATTGACAGGGACTTTGAGGTTTCAGAGATCAAGACCCTTCTCCCTATAGAGGTAAAGAGAGTCGATAGGGTTGTTGGAGGTGATGGGGCCAGAGACGAAGTGCACTGTGATAGGGGGGAAAGTGCGAGGAATGAATGAGGAGATGGGGGGCCGGGAGTGATAGAGGGAGGGGGAGCGATGGAGTGGATGCTGATCGGGCCACTAGGGATGGTGGAATGGACCAGACTAATGGGGGGATGGGGCAAGAGCAATGAACCACTGATGATGGGGGACAGGTGATGCGGTGGAGAAGACAGGGGTGATACAGACAGTGATGGAGATGGTGCTGCTGGCAACAGTAAGCGAAAGGTGAAGAAGGTGAAGGGAATACAGCGGTAGAACTGGATCTCATGGGGTGACTGGGGACAGAGTGATGGACCCCATGAGGGTGGGGGCAGGGTTGATGCAGAGCGATGGAGCTGACAACGATGGAGGAGATGGGAACAGTGAGGGAGCCAGAGATGATGGAGACAAAGTGAAGAGAATGATGGAACTGAAACCGATGGCAGAGATGAAGTAGAGCTGATAGGACAGGTAGGGATGGAGGGGATGAGAAGATGTATTGGAGACCACAGAGGGCGTGGTTTGGGTAAGAGGTGACTGACCTGGCAAGGCTGCAAAGGGCCGGAAATACACTGACCTGGGCCGTCCTGCGGGCTGGCTCCGTCACTTCTCTAGGGGGCTCCTGCTGGCTCTGGAGAATGCCCTTCTCTTCAGAGGAAGAACAAGGCCTGGTGACTGGGTGGAGTAAGAGATAGCCTGTTGTTTCCTGGGCCCCAAGGGGCACGCCCTCAGCTGAGACGGCCCCAGACAGGAGCACACTAGCTCACTGCATGATCTAAGGCAAGACCCACCTCTCTCTGGGCCTGTTTTCTCCTTTTCAAATGGGAATATTAACTGCATGGTCTAAGGGTCCTTCTGTGTTTGTTTATCTGCCCATGAGTTTAAGCTCAATAAGTCAACCATTTCCCATTTTACAGATGTGCAAAGTGAGGTCCTTATTGCCCAGAGAACCGTCCTTGGCCATTACCTCCAGGGGCAGGATGATACCTGGGCCATGGGCACGGTCGGACACAATCCGGTAGACCTTGTAGGGGTTGGAGATGTCCAGCTGGCTGCGCTCACGCACCTCACTGAAGTCGGCACTCTTGTTGAGAGCACAGCGAAGCCGAGTCTTCCAAGTGGAGGGGTCCTCCTTGTCAGTGCCCTCTAGGTGCTTGCCCTTGTATATGGCCCAGGCCTAGGGATGAGCAAGGGAACTTGGGGAGGAGTAGCCTGGGGTGGGGGGCTGGAGTTACGCAAAAGGATGAGGGCCTGCCTTGCCTCCAACCCTTCTCTACCTCCCTCTGACCCTCTGTCCCTCTGCTTCTCCATCCCTTCCTCTCTTCTCCCTCCTTCCCTTCACCTGACAAATATTTTTATTGGGTAGGCCGAAAAGTTTGTTTAGTTTTTTCCATACAATGACTCTGGTAGTTTTTTCCATACAATAACTTCATTTGAAACAATTTTGTTAGATTGCATTGTGACAGCTGTCATATCAGTGTGCATTAAAAATACTTATCAAAATGAGTGAATTTTTGTGCAGTCATTTTAATATTGAAGATAGAAGAAAATATGCAACATTTTTGGCATATTATGCTTTATTACTTCAAGAGAGGTAAAAATGCAACTGAAATGCAAAAAAAAATTTGTGCAGTGTATAAAAAAGATGTTGTGACTGATCAGATGTGTCAAAAGTGGTTTGCAAAGTTTCTTGGTACTATTGACATTTTTGCCAAATAATTCTTTGTTGTGGGGTTGTCTTATGCATTGGAAGATGTTTAGTAGCATCCCTGGACTTTACCCACTATGAGCCAATAGCATGAGATAGCTGGCATACTCAGAATATCCAAATCAATAAAGTTATTGGTGAAAATGAAAAATGTGGCTTTTATTTCACAGAAAAAACTAAATGGAGTTTTTGGCCAACTCAATATTCCCTGTGCTCCTACTATGTGCCAGACTCAAGTTAGTCACTGACTGGAGAACAAGACAGACATTGTCCCTGCTCTCAAGGAATCAACTCTAATGGGGAAAGACAGCTGCAGACAGCTCAGTGGAAATAGCTGTATTCCAAATTATGGATTGTGATAAGTAAAAAATAAATAGGATGATGGGATATAAAATAATGGTGGTGACTTTTTACCTGGAGAACCATAAAACTAAATCCTTACCTATTGCCATATACAAAAAATGGACTCCAGATGTTTAAAAAACCAAAAGCAAGAGGTAAAACTGTGAAATTAATAGAAGATAATGTAGGAGAAAATATTCTAGTGGCAGAGAATATTTCGAAACAAAACTTCAAAGGCATGAACTATAAGGCAAAAAAATTTACAATGTCTGAAAGCAGCAAGAGGCTAAGATCTAGAACATACTTCTGCAAATCAACAAGAAACAGAACATCCTCTCAATAAAACATTCTTACCAAAGGACAAGAATGAGTGGTTTACAGAAAAGGAAACCATAAGCCCATGAGCATATGAGTCCTTAAATTCATTAGGCCTTGGCTGGTGCAACTCAGTGGGTTGAGCACTGGCCTACAAACTGAAAGGTTGCTGGTTTGATTCTTGGTCAGGGCACATTTCTGGGTTGCAGGTCAGGTCCCCAGTTGGTGACATGCAAGAGGCAACCAGTCGATATATCCCTCACATTGATATTTCCATCCCTCCCTTCCCCTCTCTCTAAAATTAAGTAAATCAAGTCTTTTTTAAAAATTAAAAATTTCATTAGTGTCAGAGAAATGCAAATAAACACAGAGATCGCACTTGTAAACTGACAATCTAGCCGCTGGATAACGCCAGGCGCTGGTTGGGGGGTGGGCACTGTTCGTAGCTGGGGGATGGGTGCAGAGCTTCTGGATGGTCATCGGGCAAGCCTAGTTAATAAGTATAAACATACCCTGTGAATAGAAATTCCGATTCAAAAGGAATTCTCACAGAGGCTCTCGAGGGGAGCAGGGCAAGGGCATCTGCTGCAGCATTACTCGTGGCGCTGGAAGACAAACCGGTGTCCACCCCTGGGAAAGTGAGTGGGGGGGGTGTGTGTGTGATGAATGTCCACTATAGAGTCTAAGCATCTAGAAGCATCTAGGAGCAACACGTTAAGTGTACAGAGAACAAAAATAGATATCCAAAATATGATCATGAGTGATAAACCACAGAACGAGATCACCAACACAATATGACCTCTATAAGTTAAGAATACACACAAAACAGCAATGCTCACTTTGCAATAAAGCATACACACTCAAAATAGTCATTAAACATATTAGAATGACTTGTGGTAAAGGGACTAAATAAACAAATATGAGCGGCCACTTTAGAGAGGGTGATCAGAAATGGCCTCTTGGAGGAAGTGGCATTTGAGTGAAACCTGAATGAAAAGAACACTGACAAAGACCTGGGGGAAGGGTGTGCTAGGTAGAAGGAATAGCAAGTGCAAAGGTCCTGAGGTGGGAAGAGATTAATAGATTCAAGGAAGGCCAGTAGTCAAAGGAGAGGTATTACTTGCGTCGATTACTTTTAGGGCTGGGAGTTGGAGTTTAACCAATGAATCACACATTCAGTCATTGTCCTCAGAGATTCCAGACCTAGTGGGAAGCATGGGCACCAAAGCAGAGTCACATTCCTATGTTTGTGCCACTTGCCAGTGGTGAGACCTTAAGGCTTGATTTTGTTGTCTCTGAACAGTACCAGTGATTCCTAAACTCACATGATTGTGGCGGGTGTAAGATGAGCGGGCTACGTGAAGTGTTTAGTATGTATTCACTATATTAAGGGCACTCTCACTCAGCGGTAACCTGGTCGCAGGGTAAAGGGTGCTATTATCATAATGAGAGAAGGATCTTTTTTGTGTTCACTGCTGTGTCCCCAATCACTTAGAGTGGTACCTGGCACACAAGAGATAGTCACTGGGTATCTATGAAACAAATGGAGCTGGGCCTTGAAGGGTGAGTAGAAGTTGCCAGGTGGAGTGATATTTCTGGCAGGGGGACAGCTTGAGCAAAGGCCTGGAGGTGCAGAAGGGCACGGGGCATTCAGCGAACAGTGAGCCTAGTGTTGCTGGAGCTGGGTATGTGTGTCTGAGGGTACATGGACAGTAGATTCTCATTATCTGTGGTAGTTATGTTCTATAAAATCTACACAAACAGCGAATTAGTGAGTACTGAACCATGGCTCCTAGGGAAAATACAGAGCTAGGTTTCTACAATCTCTGTTTACAACATTTCCATCACCTGATCAATACATAACTTGGTTTTATGTATATTTCCCCAGGATACCTTATTTGATGTAAACTATTGATTCGTTAACATTGAACTCATGGCCAAAAAAACTGTAACTGACACCTGACCAAAGCTTATCCGACACACATACGGAGGCGAGGCAAAAGTAGATTCCCAGTTGTAAGTATACGGAACACAGTTTATTCTTGTATCATTATTTATTAACCATTGTATTATTTTCCGCCCAAACAACTGTAAACCTACTTTTGACCACCCTGCATTTTCTCCATCAGGCACATCACAGGCTTCTTGTGCACAGGGACCCTAGGCAGCACTTCAGCACTATGTAGGCTTGGGGCCATTTTAAATTGTCAAATCACCAACAAAAAGCACAAAAGTATTTAAAATGTGGCACTAAAAAGACTGAAAAAAGGACATATGTTTACAGCCTGAGAGCGGAAACAAGAAGGCAGAGCGTCCCCTGTCCAATCTCAGCTGGGAATGTGCACATCCAGTGACTCAGACCGTTCACCCTCTGCACGCGTCTGTGAATGGCCCCCACAGTGCCCCGGTATTGATTTTAGGATTATGGATTTCAGTGAGTAAATGAATTTGCAAATAAGGAATCCACAAATAAGGAGGATGAACTAACTATGTGCAGGGGGGTAAGGGGAAGAGGAATTAAGGAAGAAGAAACAGGTTGAAGCTGGATCACGACTGTCCTCCAAGGCCAAGCTTTACCCCCTGGGTTTGGAAGGTGTGGAGTCAGGGAGTCATGTGTGCGTCCAGGGTGGGCCGGGGCGCGCTCAAAGCAGCCAGACGGATGTGGACAACCAGCCCACAGAATCTCCGTTCTCTGAACAGCACATGAGTTTTAAAGGACAGGCCACGCATTTATTCAATACTTACTGAGCACCTACTGCGTGCTAAACACCATGCTTGGTGTCACCACCTCAAGCAGCTGAAGAAGACAAACACACAAGGCACTTAGAATTCACAGGGACAGTTGTTTCAGTGGGGGAAGCAGAACGAATAAGGGATGAATTGGAAGAAGCACTGAGTTGGAACTTAATGCATTAAATGAATGTATCAGGGAGGACTCTCCTGAGAAAGAAACGTTTAAGCTGAGCGTGATGACAGTTGGCCAGGTGAACGTGAAGAGGGCAGGGTGTTCCAGGCAGAGGGAAGACTACGTGCAAAGGTCCCATGATGAGAGAGCCATGAAGCATTTAGAAACTGAAAGAAACTGTCAGGCTGGGTCTAAAGTTGGGGAGGGGAGGGAGTAGAGAGAGATGAGGCCAGGCAGGAGCAGTTCCTGCGGGGCTTTGAGGCCCTGATAAGTAGCTGGGACTTTATCACAAGATCACTGAGGAGCCCTGAAAGGATTCTGAGCAGGGGAGTAGCAAGGCAAGATTTACACTTCGAAAGAGCCCTTTGGAAGACTGGGGGGAGAGCTGAGAGACAGGTGGAAGAGGGAGTTCAGGGGGGTCACAGCGGGTGTCCTGGTGAAAGATTGTCAAATGAGTCCAAGTAGATGGACCGAAGAGGAGCTCTGTGGGAAGGGCCAGCAGGCCTTGGTCATAGAGTTGAATGAGATCGGAAGAGAGGGGAGCAGCCAGGGCTCGGGGGCCTGGCTCTGGGGTCTGGGTGGCGACGGTGCAACATTCCATTTTGGGAAACAGATGCTTGTAGGGGAGAGCTGCTGAGGGTGGTGTTCAAGACATGCTGAGCTTGAGAGGTCTGGGGACTGAGAGACCAGCAGGCTTGGGGCTCCAGTGCTGAGGCTGTGGGAGGGGAGAGTGGGGCATGGAAAGGGAAGTCCAGGAGTGGATGCTGAGAGCCCCAAAATAGGAGGAGAGGGGTCGCAGGCTGAGAGGCAGGGGCCGCGAAGCTAGGAGGAAAATGGAGGACAGGGTGAGGAGTGAGGTGGGAGGCAGAGATTCTGGAAACCAGCGGAGTGTGTTTCAAGGAGGGAGGGTGGGAGCTGATGACCAGGAGACTCTGTGCCGGGGAGGCCAGAGGATCCGGAGCTGGAGACACCGACATGTTTGGGGAGGCCTGACATGTGGTTGGTTGGTTGTTGGTGCCTTATTGCTTACAGGAGGGACTCTGGAGTTTAAAATGTGATGGGCAGAAGCCAGTTTGGAGGAAGTTAATGATGACTGAAGAAAGGGAGGGCATCCCTGGAAGGGCAGGTCCCTGAGAAGGGCTGGTATTGGGAAGCACAGAAAATGTCCCCAGGCTGCTAGGTTGAGCGTTTGGGGGTGGAAAGTTGAGGGAGTTCTCATCAATGGCGTCTAATTTCGCCCCACGGAGAGGGAGGAGAGGCCCCCTGCGAGGTGGGGACGATACCGGTCGTGCTGTGCAATCATTCGGATCTAAGAGGGTGTCTGATGGTCTCCCATTTACGGAGAACCCTAGAGACAACTGAGGCTAAGGGCCAAGCAAGTGGCCCAAGGTCACCCAACGCATCGATCGGTCTGTGCTCTGGGCGCTGGGGCTGTGCTCATCCAGAGCCCTCCCGGGCCTGGCCGGTGTCACCCGGCCCCTGCCCCCTTACCCTGAAGAGCGCCGCGTCCTGCTGCGCGTGGTAGCCCTGCTTGGCTGCGTGCTTCCAGGGGATGCGGAACAGAGTCCTGCTCTCGTCCTCCCAGCGCAACCCCGCGTAGCGCCCGCTCTCGATCTGCGCCACCAGCCAGTCCCGGAGGCGCAGGGGACCCCTGGCCTCCGCCACTGGCCTCCTGTCATCCGGGACTTTCCCTTCCTCCCTCCGCCAGGGGTCGCCGGCCATCGGGGACGTAGTGCTCCAGGAGCCAGGTCTGGGGCGCGCAGTCAATTGGACCCCAGCGCAACAGGCGATCGCGGGCCCACCTGTGTGGCGCGTGGAGGCGGCGAAAGCGAAAGTCTGGCCGGGCAGGTTTCACTTTCCGTTCTGTACTATCTCCCGGGAGGCCCCTTCCTTTCGCCCCTCCCTGTAGGGCGTCGGGCTTCTTGCAGGGGTCAGCTAGAGTTGCCACGGGCCACCAAAACCCATTCACTGAAGGGTAAGGCGTGGTACAGCCGGGACTCTGCCCGTCCCCAGAGGCGGCGGTGGGGCGACAGGTACGCGGAGGCGTCCGTTGCCCCACCCCTGCACCTGTTTTCTGCTTTTCCCAAACCGGCCAGAAACGTGTCAGTTCCGTTTCAGAACCTGAACTCTAGAGGCTGAAAAGGTGCAGTGCTTCTCAGAGTAAGTCCCACGAGAATTGGGAGCCCTTCATTCCACACTTGAGAATCAGATATTAACAAGTTCCCTATGCGATTCTGATCCAGCTGGTCTATGGGCCATACTTGGAGAACTATTACCTTAAACCTTGGGAGCCCCCATTTACTGGTGCTCACCACAGTGCTGGGCGGCTAGTGCCTTTCCTACAGGGCCTGGATTGGTTCTCAAGACAGCATGAGAGATGAGTAGAATTACCTATTTTACTGTTAAGAAGACTGAAGCTCGGCGAGGTTAAAGCCCTGTAGAAAGGTCAAAGGCCTAATAGGTGGGGAAGCCAGGACCCAAACCTGTGTCTCTCTGTCCCAAGAGCCCAGGAGCCTACACTGTGGCCCGCGGTGCCTCCCAAAAGCTACACCTGGAGTTTATGGATTCCTGGTGCGGACTGTGATTCCCCTGAAAGTGTACGCAAATTTTTTCATGTCTATGCATTTTTCTAGGGTTTGTATCTTTCATTAAACTGTCACATGGGGTTTGTGATCTGAAGGAGGTCAAGCAGCTCAGACTGCTCCACAACTTGCTGTGTACACGGGAAACGGAGGCTCCAAGAGAGAAACCACCCACTTTGCAGCAGGTGCAGAGCTGGGCGCCCGGCCGGCATCGACCAGAGCCTGGTAGCACTGTTCCTAATGCACACTTGTCAGAGAGGCCTCCATGCTCCCTACGCTCTGTCCCCCTATTCTAAGCAGCCACCCAGTTCTGACACTTCTGTCATAGCCATGATTCAAACTCAGGTCTGCAGGGCTCCCATGGGGCACAAAGCATTTCATATGATTAAATACAAAAGTATTTAATACAAAACAATTGCATCAAAGCAGAGGTCTTTGCTGTGTCAGACAAGCCCTCATTTTCCTAAGGGGCAGAATAGTAGTAATTCAGAGGGTGGGGTCCATAGCCAGACCTCCTGGATTCAAATCACGGCCGCACAGCTTGCTGTCTGGTGACTTTGGGCACCACTCTTAGTTGCCTCACCTGTTAAATAGCGACTCCTACTTCACAGGGTTGCTTGAGGATTAACTAGGATGCAGGTAATAGGTTTAGCACATCACCTGGCCCATAGCAAGCGCTCCATAAATGAGTGGTATTATTGTTGTTGTTGAATCAGAGTGTGGTGAGAGTAATGAGGGAAGCAGGTGGAGCATCAGAAAGGACCTGGAACATCAGATCGAAGTGCTTTGTTTTGTCCTGTTGATGACGGGGGTCATGGAGGCTTTTAACCGGTAAAAATAGAATGGCATTTTAAATCCATTGGGTGGCGACTCCACTAACTAGCCGGGACCACCACGGGCTCCCTGTGCTCTGAGGAGTCCAGCCATGTTGTTTCACACAGCGTCCTACCTCAGGATCTTTTTACTTGCTATCATCTCTACCTAGACTCTTCCCCAGATAGCGTAACAGTTTGCTCCCTCACTCCCTGACTTATTTTTACTTTTGTTTATCTGACTCTCTGGTGTCTTTCCCACTAGAACATGAGCAACACAAGGGCAAAGGTTTGGCTCACTGCTGTATTCCCACTGCCCAGCACAGTACCTAGCACACGGCAGATACTCAATGGACATTTGTTGAATGAATGCGGGGTAGGAGGTTGGGCAGCAGGAAAAGGTAATTTGATCAATCCTTCCAACTCCAGAGCTGGAATCTGCGTCTCCCCCACAGCCCTGAACACAGTGCTTGGTGCATAATAAGAGCCCCATGCAGGTGGCTATATTAGCACAGCTATTTCAGACCCCTCACAACTCTGGGTTAATTTTAGTTTAGGAAAAGTCAGCTCCAGTGACGTCTGTTTATCCTGGAAGTCTGCTTCGTGCTTTACTGGACTGCCTGGCCTTTAAACTCTAGGTGGGAGGGGTCATTCCCACTGGCTGGGGATGGATCCTCCTCTCCAGTGTCCTCCAAGACCAGAAGAAGCTGCTTCTTAACAACCATCACACCATGCAAACAGCCTAGGTTCAAACCCAGCCTCCCCTTACTCCAGCTGTGTGGCCTTGGGCAAGCTGCCTGCCCGGGATTAAGTGAACTTGGATATGTAATAGGTCAGGCATGAGAGAGGCATTTACCAGCTAGTATTTTTAAGTAGGGAAGGGGAGGGAGTTGGAGAGGAGGAGGGGGGTCCAGGAGGAGAGGAGCTCAGAGAGGGGAAGGGGATTCAGAGAGGAGGCCAGTAGACCCCCCTACTCAGGAGACCAGGGCCTGGGGAGATATGGGGAGGGGACAAGGAGTGTCAGAGAAGTATTCAGAGTTCAGGCCCGAGGGATGCAGTTTAGTGGGGGTGGCAGGCTCCTCAGGCCCCCGGGATGCACAACTCCTCCCATCCCTGTTTCCGGCAGGCTCCTGGCCCCTGGCAGAGTCCTGCTGTACCACCTTTGCTCACAGACTCAGGAGGCAGACAGGCAGCTTCTGTGTCTCTTTAATATCCTCCAGGCCCGTCTAACCCCCATCCACCAACCCACTTCCATTCCCGCCGCCTTTAAGAGGGGTGGCCTGGGTGCCCCCTCCCCCAGCCCAAGGACTAAGGCACCAGATGGCTGCAGCAGCCTGGCCCAGACACAGAGACGCACAGACAGAGGACACACTACTGCAGACAAGCAGGGCGGGCAGAGGCGGCAAGGGCAGGGATCAGGCCACTGCGGGGCTCCCACAGGCTCTAGGCCCTCCTGAAGGCCGTGGGAGGCCCAGTCGGCCCCCGGCAGGGGACCAGTTGGGAGGAAAAGGGGCGGGATCCTCACTTGCCACCTTTGCGGGACAGACACCGCGGGAGGCAAGAGAAAGTCTGCTTGACGCGCGCCAGCAGCGGCAGCGGCCGGTGGGTTTCCCGGGGCGTCCGCGGCACCAGGCGCTGCAGGGTTCCCTCGGAGGCTGAGGACTGCGGCGCGGGGGAGGCGGCCGAGGTCGCAGAGCCCTGCCGGCAGCGCTTGCACAGGGGCAGCAGCGCGCGCACCTCCTCCTCGTCGCGGAACGGGCTCTCTCCGAAGCGCTCCTCCAGCTGCCGGCGAAGCTGGGGTGGGGACGTAGGGGTTCGGGCATCGGTGCCAAGCCGCCGGCCCCGTCCCCTCCCTAATCCTCAGAGCTTCCGCCCTTCTGCGAGCTTTCCTCACCTCTCTACGCCCCTCCCCTTCCCCAACATCCTCTTAGCCTCTAAGTTTCCATCGCACTCACTGAGCCGCCCCCCACCCCCACCCCACCATAGGTCCCTTTCCTTTCCCTGAACCCACTCTCCTTTTGACACTCTATCTTCCAAACCTGCTGAAGCGACCCTCCTGCCTGCACAGTGGGGACCATATTAACCCTTTCCCCCTGTCAAGCAACTCGGCTCGCACAGGGCTTCCCGCCTGCCTCTTCCTAAAGCCTTGCAGATAAGCTCCTGGGTACCAGCCGGCCACTTAATGAGAGCGCTTGTTGCTTCTCTCTGTCTCCCATCCCGTTTGGGGGAGGCCTCAGTGTCCTGACATCTCCATATGCCGTCTGCCCAGTGGGTATAGGAGAAAAAATTGCTTTGGCCTCATCAAGGATGCAGGAGTGGACTGGGAGGTGGACATTTCTCTCCCAAGGGGCTAAATGCTCAAATGCCTTCAGGTTCCAGGCAGGTAGAGCAGGCAGTTCTGGGACCTGATCTAACTGAAGGGTCCACAGTCTGGCCCAAAGGTGTTCAAATTCTAAATTAAAAAAGTAAAGAAATCACTTTGCTATCCAAACAAAATACACCTACGGGCTAGATCAGCTCAAGGGCCATGAGTGTGAGACCTCAGAAGAATATTCTGTCAGGTCTGAAGTACAAGCTAAATTCTTTCCAATGTGTGCTCACCTCACGTGAGGAAAGAAAAACCTCCCACCCTGCCCCTGCCCCTGCCCCTGCCCCTGCCCCAGCCCCTACCTTCCGGGAACTGCCCCAGCCAAACTCTTCAAGCTGCTGCCTAAAGCCTGGGTTGGGGTTGGCAATGGGCCGGGTGGACTTGATGGCTTCAAGCACTTCCCGCCAGCCTAGTCCCGTCACAGTCATCACATAGGCTGTCACAATCGTGGTGCTTCGGGAGATGCCTGCAAAGCTGGGACCACCCCGCCCCCAAGCTCCAGATGAGGCCCAGTCTCCTCCGTGCCCCCCATCCCCACTTGAGCTCTCCCGCCCTTGTCCCTGAGCCCAACCACAGGGAGCCTGCAAGGACCTGTCTTCGCACCTCCAGGCTCTCACCCTTTCTGTTCCCTCTGCCTGGAGGATCCCCCAGGCATTCCCTCTCATTAAAGACCCGAGTGAAACACCACTTAATTCATTCAACCAACAAACATGTCCTGATCATCTGTTATTTCTCAGCTACTGGGGGTATAGTGGGAAGTAAAACAGAGATGGTCTCTGGGCTAGGACAATCTAATGGGGGGCTGGGGAGGACGAGGGAAGGTGTTCCCAAGGAAGTGACATGAAGCTGGGTCTTGAAAGAGGGGTAAGCATTAATAAAGAATGCTCTGGGCAGCGTGTAAGAGACCACGTTGTGGGAACCTGGTGCATTTGGGGAGGAGAAGGAGGGAGACGGTGAGGGACAAGGCTGGCGCTGCTCCTGTGGCGGGCGTCCTGCACTGGGGAGGTGCTCAGTGAGAAGTTACAAAATCAGTGACATCTACTGGGCCAGGGGCTCTGGGAACACGCAGGGTCCTGTCTCCCAGCCTGGGGTTCCCTACTGCCTTGCACTGTCGCCTCAAAGGCTTGGAGGGGAGGAGAGGGAGCTAGAACTGCAGGAGGGTGTTTGGCTGCCTGCATGACTTCCCTTGTCCCTCCCAATAGCCCGTCATGTCAGCATTCTTCTCCCTGTTTTACAGGTGAGGAAACTGAGTCTCAGGGAGAAACAGCTATTTGGCTATGGCCACACGGCAGGTAAAGGACAGAGCCCTGATTTGAGCCCCCTGTCAGTCCCTATCAGAGGAATGGCAGATCGTCAGCCACTGTGACAGCTGGAGATTTGTCACAGGTTCCTCCTTCCCATAGAATGCGTGTGTGTTGAGGATGGAGGACAGCCACTTACTTCCTTTCTCCCCACTGTCCTCTTAACTCACCAGTGCACAAGGCAGTTCCCCCCATTGAGGCGGCAACAGTGGATGAAGTTGATACATTCTTTGAAGTGCTTTTTGCTAGAGAAGAAAGCAACAGGGTAGGGACCACTGGTGGGGGGGGGGCATGTCTCCTAGGAGTTGTCCCCCTCCGCATTTATGGGATGGCAAGAGACAAAGGATAAAGACCAGAGGGTTCGTAGGTCAGCTAGCACGTGCGGGGAGTAGGAGCCAATAGTATCCTACGAGGCGGGGATGTGTGTGAAATAATAATGGTGGCACTTCACACGGAGAGAGACCAATCATGGCGGATCCCACTACAGCAGCAGGAGCCCCTCCCAGTACGTCCTGTGGACTCTATTTTCATAGGGAGGTTTATCTTGACCTTTCAAGGAAATGGGTGGGAGAGGACACAGGACTGGGTTCTCCTCTGGGGTCTGCAGTCAGAGCATCTGGGGACAGTGATGGCCAGCAATGGGGTTGACAGCAAGATTCCCAAGGGGCAGGCGTGTCTTGTCTGGGCCCCTCCCAGGCCGGAGGCACTGCTGCTACCGTGAACAGAGATCGTGTCCTGAGCCCCCAATACACTCAGGCCCTGTCCTAGATCCTCAGTCCACGCCATCTGATCTAGCAAAGCCTCCTCGCTGCTGCCGGCTAAGCCCGCCTTCCCTCTCAGAGAGGGGAAGTGATTTGTTCAAGGTCACACAGCAAAGAGATGGCAAAGCCTGGCCAGAACCCAAATGTCTTAACTCCAAGGCCAGGAACCAGCTGAGCCTGACCTTTCAAATCCACTGGTGCAGCTGACCTTTTGAGACAGGGCACTCTCTCCAGTTCACAGCAGGAGGCTCAGCTCTGCGAGGTTAATGGTCTTGGTCAGGGGCACAGGCAGAGGTGCAGCTAAGACAGAGTCAATCTTGGGGCTGGGGGACCCTCTGCGCTGGGCTTCCAGGGTGGCTTTCTGGCCCTAGTCCTCTCTGTCTTCCCTCAGACCGCCTTCCATCGTCCCTCCCACATCTGTCTGTCCGTCGGTCGTTCCATCCCAGAACTTACATGGGTACCTCAGGGGTGTCGGCCACTGGGATGCGAAGGTAGGTTATGCCCTGAAAGTATAAAACACACACAGGCAGCGGGGCAGGGGGACTTGCTGGCACCCTCTTATCCCGGCCTGGGCCCCCGAGCACATCCTGACCCCAAACCAGTTCCTGTCCCTCTCTGGGCCACGGTTGTCCTCTCTGTTCAAAGAGTAGATGCCATCTGATGGCCTCCCAGCTCTGACCATCTGTGATTCTAAAACCTGAGAACGTAATAAAAATTATCCAGGGACCTTTCATTTAATAGCAAGGAAAGGGCCACTTAAAGTGACTCCCCTCCGAATGAAGATTACAGAGTACATAGTAAGAAGGGCAGGTTTTATTTTCTTAAAAAGAAATGAAAATTATGAAAATAAGTTTACACTTCATGAATTGTATTATAAACTTTGTGCTAATTATTAAAATAATCAAGGAGTTGTCAGATTTTCCCAACAAACTTGCTCCAATATCCTTCACCTTCACACAAGATAATAAAGATGATTTTTGCCTACATTCCAAGAACCTCCTCACTTTTCCCGGGGACCTCTCTTAATCATTTGATAGTCAAACGGCTCTTTTCAGGTGCCTGGCCCCGCAACGGCCAGTGGCTAAGGAACCTCCTCACTTGTTAATGGCTTCACCTGAGAGTCCAGCCTTTCTCTAACTCACTTTCCCCAAGGTCACTCAATCCTGATATTTTGCAAGGTTTGCGATTTCATTTGCAACACATTTGGCCTCGCATTTACAAGGCATAATCAAGCCCTGACTGGTAAATTCACTGAGGTATGAAGCGGGAGGGACGCTTGTGAGACGAGGGGAGAGCTGCTGGAGCAGGGATTCATTTTGCCAGCAGTCATTTCATTAGTAAATATCTTCCTGACACGACAACCTTCTCTATGCAATCTAATGACTGCATACTCCAGTTACTCCCAAACAAGTCTGCACTATGAAGCAAAATAAGACTCTATTGACCTGGAAATTTCTTCTTTGAATGACACTGAGAAACACAGATTATTGGAGGTTGCTCTTAGAAATCATCAAATCGGCCACATGGGGACCTAAGGCCCAGAGAGGGGAAGGATCCTGCCCAAGGTCACACAGCAAGCCTGTGACAGAACCGGGTCCGAATTTCAGCTCCCCAGAGCCTTTTCCCACCCACAGTTCTCTCCCTTCAGTAGGTGACAGGGGCTGTAACAGGCAAGGAGGAAGGACCTCCGTTTATGGGGTAAGAGTATAATTAACTTTGTATTATATCAGCTGTCATTTGTTAAGCACCTACGATGGGGCTCTCCATAACTCAGCGAGGTCGGTACTGTTATAAAATTCCCTTTAGAGATCAGGCCACTGAGGCTCACAGAGATGAGGTCCTATGCCCACGGTTACAGAGAGGATAAGTGGTGAAGATGTGAACTCGAGCCTTTTGACCCCAGCACACGTGGCCGAATTTCCTGCTTTCCTCCTCTGGGTCAAAACACCCTCACTCCCTCTTTCCCAGGGACTCGATAATACCAGCACCGACTGTTCCAGTGGGAGCCACGCTCTATAGCATGCAAGGCATCTTCCCTGTCCCACAGCGCCTTTCCTCCTCACAAGACAGGGCTGAAGGATCAGAGGCCCAGAGAGATGACGTTACAGCCCCACAGCAAGACAGGTCACACAGCAAGACAGAGAGTTCAGAATCATCCTTTTGGGGTCATCTTCCCATGTGGGAAGCCCACATGGGGGGCTTTTTATGGTTCAGTGTGAGGCATTTGGGGCCAGATGGTCTATGTTCAAATTCCAGCTCCCTAGCTTCCTAGATGTGTGAGTTTAGGCAAATTACTTTACTTCTCTGGGTCTCAGTTGCCAAATAGGGATCCAATAGGGAGTTCATGTAAAACAGGCCAGTTTCCAACCGAGTGAGTTAGCATGGGTCAGGAAGGCAATATAGGACCTGGCACATGGTAGGTATACGATTAATGGGTGCTGTGGAGGGTCTGAAACCCGCTTCCCCTCAGTCTATGCACAGCTCTGGGACCGGGGTAGGGAGTACCTGCAGCAGAGGCTGGGGTGACTCATGAATGGAGATGATGTGCGTGATTTTATTGCGGCCCAGCTGATCCGGGTCTTTGGCATCTGAAAGAAACAAGGAGCTTGAGCCAATCTGGCAGGTGTGGCTTTTGTGTCCCTGATGACCGAGGGAGGCAGCACTTCCCGCCCAACTCTCCTCCTCACCCCACCCTCTCCGCCTTGGTGGACCCTCCGCCAGCTCCCTGCTCCTTCGCCACCTCCTGCTCCTAGCGTGACAGGTCCTGCCACACCCCTACGCTTCAGTCTTGTCTCTGGGGCACCCTGGAGTAACAGCTCAGCAACTCCCCCGCCTTCCCCATGCTATTTTTTCCATCGTAAACACCCTTCCCTGGCATATCCTTGACCCAGTAATTCTGCTTCTAGGAATCTTGCCTGCAGGATTTGCTCACACGAAAGCCGTGTGTAGAGGATGATAGTCTCTTCATGCTGCTTATAACAGTAAAAGCATCAGAAATAGTTAAAAGTAGAAACAAAGTAAATGTCCATCAAAGGGGAGCTGGATAAAAAATGGTATATTCATACCTGAATACTACGCAGCCACTAAAAAGATCTTTATGTGCTGATGCGCAAAGATGTCCACAATATATTATTAAATGGGAAATACAGGGAACAGAAGAGCATGCAGAATAGGTTTCCATTTTTGCTTTAAATGTTGTATCCGTATCGACAAAGAGATGAAAAATGACCCAGGGGTATGCCCACACTGCTATTAGTGGTCATCTCTAGGGGCTGGGTTTCCAGTGTGTACAGACCTTTTATAGTCAGAGTAAATAACACATATCCCCCCTCTCTCCATTTGTCCACATCCTCATTCAACACATTTACCGAGTGCTTACTGTGTGCAGCCTCAGCTGGGCATAGAGGTATGGAGTCAACTTCTGCCCTCGCGGGAATTCAGACCTTATTTAGTCAAATACTCAGAAACCAATGTGGTGCGAGCTGCTGAGGTAGCTCCAGGGAGGGAGGGGTCAGCGTGGGTGACAGTGGAGCCCCTAAGTCTGTGGGGGACGGGGTGGATCGGGAAGGCCCTGTCCCAGCCCGGATGCCCCTTGCTCTCTGTAGCTCTCTCTCTGACTCTGCAGATGAAAGTGATTTTTCTCATCTTGGGCCCCACAAGCCTCAGACCAGCCTGTCTCTTAACACAGGCCCAGGACAGGCAGAGTGCCATGGCCTTGGGGACAGAGTGGGCAGTGCTGACCAATGAAGTTTCTAGGGTAGAGCCCAGTCTCCAGGGCTTCTCCTCTGAGGAGGAGGTTGGGGGGAAGGGTCCCCATCTCCCCAGCTAGAAGCAACACCTCCAAACAGACCTCTACCTAGAACCTCAGGGCCGCAAGAACCAACCACAGGAAGAGGCTCAGAGCAGGTGCAGACTTGCCCAGCGCCCAGCGTCCTGAGCCCTTTGCGCTAGAGCCACTCTCCCCACCTACGTACCCCTTATCCTCATGAACTCTTTCCTCCTCCTGGCCTGGCACCACCCCCTGCCCCCCCAGCCCCATTCCTGAGCTCCCCCAAGGTGCGTGGGCCAGAGCATGAATGATGGACACGGGCCTGGGGCAGGCAGACTGCCATGGCCTTGGGACAGAGTGGGCAGTGCTCACCAATGAAGTTTCCGAGGTAGAGTCCAGGAAGTACCTAGGGGAGAGACAGGCAGGGTCAGTGGGGGAGGGGAGCAGGGGCCCACAGCCCCTCTCCATCCCATGAAGGGTGTCTGAACCTCGGGCCTCGGGGAGCACCCGCCTTCCTCCGGTGGGCCTGGACTCTGTGAGAGGGGCTGGGGAGCAGGAGGGGGCGCCAGGGGAAGCTGCCTTGGGTAGGGGTGAGAGGAAAGAGAAGGGAGGGCACCAGGACCTAGGGGGAGAGGGTAGGAGGGGCACAGAGGAGAGGGCAGGTGAGGCGGACTTGCCTGGGTGGGTGGTGGGGAATTCTGAGGAGTAGGGAATGGAAAGGCAGGAACAGGAAGAGGTAGAGGAGGAAAAGAATGGAGAAACAGCCCCAGGGAGATAGTCCACAGAGTCAGAGACAAGGGAGACTGGCGGGGGCGGGCGGGGGAGGGGGGCGCAGAAAGTGTGTCTGGGAGTGACAGGAGGAAATAGTCTCAGTAACAGGCAGAGAGAGATACACACAGGGAGACAGAGACCAGAAAGAGAGAGACAGAGACGTGCACAGTGACAGAGAAGAAATTATAGAGCGCTGCAGCCCCAGAGAGACACCCAGCGAGATACTATCTCAGACAGAGTCGCAGGGAGACAGAGATACAGACACACAGAGACTCGGCGGGAGCCCAGAAGGTCAGAGGCGGGCAGAGGCAGCCGGTCCGGGGCAGGAGCTGGGCCGGGCTGGGCCGGGCTGGGGGCGGGCAGGGGCGGGCAGGTGGGGGCTGCGAGATCCCCGCCCACCTACCTTGGTCATGCCATTCCCCATGATCCCGGGGGCTGGGGTCCTGGCGCACCCCCAGCTCGCAGCCGGGAAAGCGCTCGGGTCACAGCAGCTTTGATGACCCAGGCCCGGCGCCGGCAGCCTGAAGGGGAACAGGGGGCCTGGCGTCCACGGCCCCGCCCAGCCCTGCCCAGCCGCCGCCGCCGTCACCGCCCGCCGACCCCCGGCCACGGAGGGAAATGATGGAGGAGCCGCCGCTGCCACAGCCGCAGGCTCCTCCTACCCCTTCGGTCATGTGGGGGCCCCTCCCGTGGGTCGCAGCAGGGGGCTGGACAAAGCCCCAGTGTGCCGGGCCCAGGGCCCGCGGGACAACGGCAGCTTGTTGGGGCCTCGTGGGGCCGATACCTCCGGAGGTGGGGGCGAGGGCCCTCCCCCCACCCTGGCACCGTCAGGCTCGGGCGGGTGGGGGGCGGAAAGAGCCCTCAGCCAGGGGCTCAGAGACCCAGACCCCAGTTCAGGCTGTGCCTGGACTTCCCTGAGGGCCCTGGGGCAAAGCACCTCGCTCCTTTGGCCTCGGTTTTCTAGCAGAAATATGACTGGGGCTGGACTTTGATCGCTGTGGGTCCTCTGTTCTTCAGATTCTGTTTGAGATGAGAAAAGTGGTAGGTAATTCCTCCCTTCTGTAATCCCCTCTCCTGCCTCACTCCTCATGAAGGCTTCCTGCCAGCCAGCCATCCTCCTTCCCCACTCACACACAACCATCTGTCCTCCCATCCTTCAGTCCGTCCATTCATTGGTCTGTCCATCCATTCATCCATCCTCCCATCCCTTCCTCCCATCTGCTTTGACCTCTATGTGGATGGTGTCATTTGGGTCTGTTCTGCTGGGACCAGGCACACCAGCCGTCGAGCCCCCAAGAAGCCAGAGGCAAATGTGAGGGGAGGGAAGGGTTGCAGTTGCCCTGGTCCCTTGGGGTAAAGAAGATTACAACAGAATGTAGTTGGAGGCAAGAGTCCTGGAAGGTGATTCTGGAGACAAAGGTCCCAGGCCCTATTCCTCTCTGTCCTGCTGGGTGACCCTTGGGGTCACAGCTGCCCCGTGTGTCTCAGTGTATTAAGGTGAGCCCTTCCTGCTACTGGAATCAAAGCTAAAGAATGTAAAATAATGGAGACCAGACATGTGCTATGATACTGAAACAGAAGCAGCTGAACCAGCTTTGCTCATCCAGCCACCCCCAACCCCACCCCCGCCATGTCTAGTAGCAGGTGATAGTGCAAGGGACTATCGGTACAGAGCAGGACACAGAGGAGACAGAACCTGCTGGAAATGCAGTGACTGGAGAAAAATAGAATCCCTTTTGTGTTTATTCCTCACATTCACAGCATACACGGGGGCTGCCTGTCTCAGCTCTCTCTGAGCCCAGAGTTCCCATAAAAACCAAATTATTCAATAAATACTCACTGGGCACCTGCTACAGGGTAGGTGCTGGGAACCCAGAGGTAGATAAGGGAGATGGTTCCTACTTTTATTGGCTAAGAGTCTAGAACAGCACTGCCTGATAGAAATAATGGGAGTCACATGTGTAATTTAAAATTTCCTAGTAGCCACATTAAAAATGTGGGAAGAAGAGAGTTGTTAATAATGTTTTAACCCAATATATGCAAAATATTATTTCAACATGCAGTTAATATTTAAAAATTATTAATGACTTTTTTATTGTATTATCTTTAAAATCTAGTGTGTATTTTACACTTAGAGCACATATCCATTCAGACCAGGCACATGTCAGATGTCTCATCTGCTATATCTGCCTGCTAGCTACAGATTGGACATTTCAGGTGTAGGAGGGATGGCAAACAAAATACGCAAGTAGACAAATAGAGCATTTACAGTCACAATTTTCTATGAAGAACACAAAATGGAAAAGAATCTCTCTAAATAGGTGATATTAAAGCTGAGACCTGCATAGAAGAAAGACCCAACTATTTAAAGAGTGGCGGGATGTCCAGCAGAAAGAACAGCACAGGCAAAGGCTGTGAGGTGGGAAAAGTTTAGCCTTTGGAAACGTGGGGTGGACAGGAGGGGAGAAAACCAAAGGAAGGTGGTGAGACTGAGGCTGAGAGGAGAGAAGGGGTGGAGTGTGCAAGGCCATGTAAGGCCGTAACTGAGGGTTTAGGGTTTTCTTTTCGGTATGATAGAAAGCCAGTGGGAAAATTTAACTGGGGATGCCATGTAACCTGATTTACATCTTAAGTACATCACTTTGGCTCCTACCTGGAGTGTGGATTACAGAGCAAAGCAGGGAGGCTAGCGAGGAGGTTCCTGGAGCAGCCCAGCCAAGAGGGTTTCCTGCCTTGGAAATCACTGCCTGTGCCACAGAAGTGAAAGCAGGATTATTCATTCATTCAAAAGGTGCTTATTGGACACCAGATTAGGGATGAAAAATTGGACTGAAGATGTCATGTCTGACTTGAGTGTCCCAGAACGCCCTACCCTGTAGATAACCAAAAGCAATGCTGATAAATGGGCCTAAAGACTAGTCCCTCACATGGCAGCTCTGTGAACCTGGGCAGACAACCAAATCCTCCTGGGTCTGTTTCCTCATCCATAAAGGGAAAATTATAACATCCCTTTGAACTTGTACAAAAGAACTATCAAGTTAAAATACCTAAAAAAAAAAAAAAAAAAGATACGAGCCAGGGACCCTCCCCCACCCCCCAAAAAACCCAGAATTATCTTCTAGGGTTGTAGTACCAGCTTCCCCAGCTAGATGAATGTTCTAGGAACCCATCTGTAACAGTGTTCCAGCTGGCGTTGTTGTGAGAGGCTGCATTCAGCTTCAGTGTTTTTGAAGACTCAATGTGTTTGCCCATTTCATGATGGGTGATTTATGAGTTTACCTGCCCACACTCCTCTGAGTATTCAGCATTTTTTTGACCAAAAATGACCTCGCTCCCAGCAACTTTGTTTTGTTTCCCAGATGAAAAAAGTCCTCAAAGAGAAACATTTTGCTGATGTGGAAGAGGTGAAACAAAAAATGGCAGAAGCACTAAAAGCCGTCAAAATCGGTGAGTTCAAAAACTGTTTTGAGCAGGGGAAAAAAGTCTCAATAGGTGCATTGCATCGAATGGAGAGTAATTTGAAGGTCACTGAACTTTAAACATAAAAGAATAAATACACAATTTTTAATAATTAAATTCTGGGTATTTTGGGTCCCTCCTCATATACTTACTAGATTGAACACATTTAATATCTATAAACTGTTTATTCCTTTAAAATGTTACTTGTTGCAAGCTCAATTTGCTGTAAATAAGTCATGAAGTGGCTGTTTTATAAAACCAATAATAAAAATATACTAAAATGCAGGTCTCATCTTGTCTTTTCCTTGCTTGAAACCCTTCAGTGGCTCAGTGTGGTAGGCAAAATAATGGATCCCTTCAAAGATGTCCATGCTCTGACTCCTATAAGTTGAGAATGTGTTCTGTTACATGGGAAGGGGGAATTAAGGTTGCAGATGGAACTGAGGATGCCAATCATCTGACCATGAGACGGAAAATTATCCTGGGTTATTTGGGTGAGCCCAATGTAATTACAAGTGTCCTTGTAGGTGAAAGAGGGAGGCAGGAGAATAAGAGTCAGAGGGAATGTGATGGCAGAAACAGAGGTCGGAATGATATGATCGCTGGCTTTGAAGATGGAGGGGGCCATAAGCCAAGAAATGTAGGTGGAAAAGTGAAAGAGATTCTTTTCTACAGCCTCCAGGAGGAACCCAGCCCTGCCACCACCTTACTTTTAGTCTAGAGAGACCCAATTCAGACTTCTGACCTGAAGTACTATAAGCTTATACATTGAAGTTGTTTTAAGTCACTTCGTTTGTGGTAATTACAGCAGCAATAGGAACCTAATACACTCTCCAATACCCCTAGGAAAAGGTCTAACCTGCCTAGCATAGCACACAAGGCCTTGTGGAATCTGGCTTCTTCCAGTGTGACCTTGAGTAAATTTCTTAATTTCTTTTTTTTAAAGATTATTTACTTATTTATTTTTAAAGGGTAAGGGAGGGAGACAGAGAGGGAGAGAAACATCAATGTGTGGTTGCCTTTTGCATGCTCTGGGCTTCTGGCCTGCAACCCAGGCATGTGCCGTGACTGGGAATCAAACCAGCGACACCTTGTAGGCTGGCACTCAATCCACTGAGCCACACCAGCCAGGGCAAATTTCTTAATTTCTGTAGACCTGTTTCCTCATCTGTAAAATGAGGAGGAAAATAATCCCTCTAGGTCTGTAAGGAAATTAAATGAGAGGACACATTTAAGATACACAACAGAAAGACTGGCACCCCATTATTATTATCATGGAGCAACTGACACAGAATTAGGAAGCCTGGGTTCTATTCCCCTTGCTAGGGCTCTGTTTCCACATCTGCAAAAAAGGAAACAAACACATACAGGTTTAGCAGCTTCTTTTCTCCCCTTTTCTTCACTCTTTCCTGGTCATTGATCAGCTTTCATTTCCTCAAACATTCTTCACTCTCTCTGACTTCTGATTTTGCACAGGCCATTCCCTCTGCCTGGGATGCTCTTCCCATTCATTTCATTGGGCCAACTCCCATTTCCTCCAGGCAGTCTTTGCTGACTGCAGTTGAAGTTGGTTAGATCCCACTGTTGTGCATTCCCAAAGCATCCTAAACTTCCTCTATTGTAGTACTGATTTTCTGTCATTGTTATGGCTTGTGTGCTTTTTATTTGGAAAAAAACAAAAACCAAAAAGCAAATCCAGATAGGAGTACTTTGACTTATTTACTTCAAGTGTGTTTAAGTAAAATAAAACATTACAAGTAAACTTGACGTAGTTGAAGTTCCCTTTCCTCTCTCCTCTTCCCCAGAGGCAACCACTATTATGAATTTGTTATGCAGCATATCTGTCTATATTTTTAAAGTTTTAATACCTGTATACCCATAAATATATAGAATATACTTTTGTATGTGTGTTTATAGTTAATATAAATTATAACCTTTAAAAAATATTTATGACTCTACAATTTTTATTTGCTCAACAAAAGGTTTGAGAGATATTTATTTATATGAATCTGAATTATTCATTTTTATCATTGTATAGCATACTATTATTAGAATCTACTCCATTTTATTC